GAAGAGCACACCCTTCACCACATCATAATTAAAAATTAATACTTAATTATGATTACAGTTTTTAGTCAAGTGTATACCTCAATAATTATATGGATATGTCTTAGGAATTGTTTGAATTTTTTTTTTATTATTCCGTACTTTCAAGTAGGGATAATTACTAATATATATATATATATATATATATATATATATATATATATATATATATATATATATATATATATATATATATATATTCAGGAGATTTTATTTTATTTGATTTTTGAATTGTGAATTTAATTTTTTTAATTTTGAATTTTGAATTGTGTATTGAAAGAGAATATGGTATTTTTGTCATCGTAGAAGTAGTTGTCCTTAAAGTCCCAAAAAATTTGTGCATGGACTTTTCTCCTAAAAGATCATAGAGTAATGTTACATTGATCAAATTTTGGGACTAAATTTGGAGCTCAAATAACATGTTAGTTGATTATTTGAAATTTTTATTAGGGCTCAAATAACATTACACCAATCAAAGAAGCTCAAGTCAACTGTCATGTCATTTGAGTTTCAAATTTGATCTCAAAATTTGGTCAGTCTAACATTATTGAAGATCATAATAGTTGACAGGCTTCCAAAAAACTTTATTTTTTTCAAAGGAAAAGAAGTCTGGTCCTTTTGAATCCAGGTATAATGGGTGGCTTTTTCATCAGTTTTTTTGGGTAAAAAAATAGCTTCCAAAAAAGAGTCGGCTTTTTTGGAATGTGGTCCAGACACTTCCAAAGGTGTTTTACTACAGATAACTTGTGTTCACACCTTGATCATGGACTAGAATATGGAAAATGGAAATCAATTTGAATTATTACTAACGCTTGAAAGTCATGGCAACAACGACCTGAGGTCGTCAACTTGAATGTGAAAGACAATTGACATGACCAAAGGAAGGAAAACTGACGTACGTGGTTTGGCATTATCATGACAATGTATATGTAGTGGCGTATCAATATATTGTGTGTAGTCTCTAATACAATTTTAACCGATTAACACGATATGTGATTCTGATCTACAATATAATTTTTTGCTATGCGTGTTTCATGGGCTTGAAAAAATATCTTGTTACAGTTTGGTCATGGACGTGGTCAAGGAAAATTACCTATGCTTCAAAGTCGTGCCAAGCCCAACTCACACGACTTGATCAGTGGAAGAAAAATTGAAGTTTTGGATGGAAAAAAATAGCCCAATATGAGACTTTAATAAGTAGGAAAAAAAGGCAGTACAATTTATGAAAGGGAAAGTTTTCGACACAATTATGAAATGTTCTAACGTATTAATATTACGAGCATTATAATTATAACGTAGCTAAACTATAAGAAAATGAAACACCTAGTGGAGAAGAAAAAGAGCAAAATAAGTGGACAACAGAAAGGGAGGAGTGAGAAAATAATTCTTAGGTGAACACTTGGTTTTTTTTTTAAATCGATAAAACTAAAATAAAACATTCATATTTATATACATCAATTATTCATTTGGCTACACGAAAGGCCAAAAGGTGATAGTAGAGGTAAAATTGATTCGGATCAGGTCAACGATCAAGGCTCATTGCTTTGTTATGAGCTCCTTCAGTTTTGGTTGAATTACATTGTTAAGACCTTCAAAAGCCCGTTTTAGGAAAGAATTCTAAAATTAATGATAAATCATACAAGATTTTGAATTCAGTGTCGTCAATTTTGCCAGACTCCAAACGACACGTGTTTTTATGTTAATTAGTTAGATTGTAATTTTTATATTTGGTCATTTTTGTATAATTAGAGATTTAGCCTCTATTATGGGGATATAATTAGGATTTTGATCGTTTCTATATATATTCTCTTACGTAACACAAATTATTTAGTGAATAATATACATTTTTAAAGATATTTTCATGTTCTTTTCTTTGTGGACTCAGAGTGTGTATGTTCTATATACTTAAAATCGTAGTGTTCTTCGCGTTTTTTTCGTTCTATGGCTGTTATTTTTTGAGCTTTTCCTTGCAGAATATTTCCTTGGTCAGTGTCACTGATAAGGACTCCCATAACCGTTTGGGACTTGGAGGTTCCATTGGGCCATGGTCATTCCTTTATAGTGTTGAGGAGAGGAAGACTGGTTTCAATTGAGTGGAATTTATCGTAGTGTGGTTCAGATATCTATTTCCAACTCCGCCGCAACAAAAGTGAGTTAAACAAATTATCAACACACAAATATCAATTAGACCAAAATATGATAGTTTCTCTTGCTAAAATCCACTCTACAAGCCATAAAGCACAAACCCATTACTCGTTCTCATGTTTATAATTCCTTCATTTTTTACTTTTTCCGAATTTATCTAGATTTTTGTTTCAGTATATGTAATTTAATTAACAAATTGAATTTGTCACCATTAGTCAAATGAATAGAATGCATAGCTGCCCAACCAAGTTCAATAGGAAAATGCTATTTGGACCGAAAAATTTGACATAATTTGCTGACCTAATGACTTGGCTTCATTGGAACCATTAGATTAACACTAAGTTCTAATGTTTGATGGAGCCCACAATCAATCAAAGGTCATAGTAAATTAGATAAACAAATTAAGTCAGTAAATTAGGTCCCTATAGCATTACTCATTTCAATATTGTTGGGATAGGTGGCTCATATTCAGAGTATGGAGAGTTACACTAGGCCCAAGAGGATAATAAACCAGTTGTTAGAGTATGAGTGAATAATACTTTCTTTATCATTTAGGATTATTTCCTTTATGGTTTAACTTTAAAAGTTGATTATGAGACCATGTTAAGAATAATACTTTATTTATTCGGTTGCTCGTTATTATCCAGTTTTAGAATGTAATTCAAAGTTTTTGTGGAACAATACTACTTTAGTTTTAATTGTAATTTCAAATATTGCGCATATTGATTTTGGCCTATGTTTTAGTTAATATGAATTATGAATGGATTTCCACTTATTTATGAATACCATTAATTGCTCTCATGGTTTAAATGTGTATAAATAATAATAATGCGTGAATTTTAAATTGTTATAAATAGGCTCTAAATGTCAAACCGGCCCAGTTTGAGGTCTGGTTCACCTGGTTTCTAGGTCAACCCTTGAGCCGGGTGGGTGGGTCGGATTTTAAAACAATGCCTAAACCGATATCACAAATACGTACGAGACGCCACATATTGCTTTTGGCCGCTTTCATGCGGGAGACCTATGAGACCCATTAGAGCAAGGGCGACTTCCCAACACGGATAGGATTTTGCCGAATAGATATGATCAAGGGAATTCGGTAAAGGCAGGACTAAGGCCCATCGTCTGAGATGATTCATTGGCATCGACAATGAAGATGGAAGGGTTAAAGGGTTAATGCTACCCGAGACCTTAGAAAGGGACGCTTGAAGACAAGAAGAACGTAGGGTAGATAAGCAGGCCATATTAGAGAGAAGAAACAGGAAGAGAGCCGAGGACTGAATGAGAAAGACGAGGGAATAAATACTGACGAAGATGTATATGTAAATAAGAAAATTTGTCATAATGATAACATCAAATCTCGTGCCATTCAGTTCTAGCAGAATTGAAAAGAAAAAAGAAGATTGAGGAGTCACAAGTGGAATTAAGGCTTGTAGCCCTTAGAAAGATTAATGTGACACCAATTTGAATTTTAATAGCTTTTCAACGTGTCGATGGGGGAAGGGGAGACATCGTAATATTTACACCAACAATATGAGAAAGGACATGTGGCATGACCAGGGCTGCTAGAAGAGCAAAGAGAATCCTAGGCATTCACAATAATCGGAAGATTTTAGTATTTGAGAGACGTGTAATGTCGTATCAAAACGTGATATTAAAGATCTAAATTTTCTCCATTGCCCTTTTCTTTCAATTTTCTTTGATGTAGTGTTAGATAAGTAACATGTATAAAATTTTGAATTTCAATAGACAAGATTTTTTCTCATTCATTTTATTGTTGATGGAATATTAACCATTGTTAGATAATTTTTCACAAAGAAAAAATCTTGTCTATTGAAATTCAAAATTTTACACGTCACTCCTCTAACAATGTATTGAAAGAAATTGAAAGAAATGAATAATGGAGAAGATCCGAATCCCGACACTAATAGAGCATGAGTTATTGGGATAAAAGTCTTAACTTACCTAAACTTGTGGGGTAAAAATTGTAAATTGCAAAAATTATTATATATTATAATTTTATGCATAACTAGCATAGAATTATTTAATTGGGGTCAAATTAAAATTTAAAAAAACTTGTGTGGAAGAAAACAAAGCGATGTCAATTTTTTGTATAAGAGAATAAAATTATTTGAATCTAAAAATCTGACCTCATTTGTTGAATGAGCCAATTACGTAATAGTATTGCCTAAAAAGGGTGAGGGCGTTGCGTTAAAAAAGAGAGGTGAAGAGTAATGCCATTTGAATCTAAAAAATTGACTTCATTTACTTACTTAATTCCCTATGACTTTTGAATTAATTGTGAATCCCATCAAAATTGAAACTTACTCTTCATCCGATGAAGCCACATCATTAGGTCAATAAATGAGATCAAATTTTTAAGTCCAAATAACATTACTCTCACATGTAATCGCTTGTACAAAAAGTAAAGGCTAAGGACAAGTGTACATAACAACGTAGCAAACATGCCCTCAGTATTACCATAATTAGGAAAATAAAGCATATTTTTCCACTATAGAAAAAAAGAACAATGCATAATATATACATAATGTACAACTAGGCATTTTTGCACAAAAGGAATGTTGGCCCGGGCCTATTACTCATTGTGGTTAGCTGGTAGCTGCTATCCCCATGAGATCACATTTTCAGGGTTGGTAGGTGTAGGTAGGAGGTCGGATAAGCTTGTCATCTCCAATTAGAGCTGGACTAAATACTAATTGACACAAAAAACACAGGTGTTCTAATACCAATTCTTAAAAACAAAATAACTAAATTTCCTGAAAATCAAACTTGCACAAAAAATTGAACTCCTTTCTAATTTACTTGAGATGACTCTGATGCAGAAGATACACACCCTCCCAACCTTGTTCTTTCCCCCTCTCAATTGTAGACAATAGTACTTGTAAAAAGTCCGCTGCTTCTTCCTTGCATGTGAACTCCAAGATGGTTTGAAAAAGTGGTAGTGGGTTTGGGGATTGTTTTCCACCCCCTCTTTTTTGTTTGTGCTGGTTTTGCCTCAACAATGTATCTGAATTGCTTCCAACAATATGTACCACTTCTTCCTCAATACCAGCGTAGATTACACTACCCATTCCAATCTCTAATTCTATCACCCACTCCGGATCAGCAGGAATGCCTCTAAACTCGGGCCTACCCAAGTTCACCAAACTGGCGCAAGAAACAACTAAGATTAGTTTCTCGGTGAGAATAACATATTTACCACCCTGTTTAAGTGCTTTGCTCATGACTAAAGTCTCATCTTTTAACTTCAAGCCATCATCAGCCTCTGCAAGAACCGATGTTCCAACTGCTTCTTCCCAAGAGTAAGGCCTCATGGGAAATTCTCTACTCAGAGGTCGAGGGAGACGAAGCCTAAGGCGCTGGTTTCTCTTCTGGTGTAGCTTGCTTCGGTTTCTGATACTCTGTGCAGTTTTGCCAGTGACCTCAAGGATACTGGCTGCGGGTCTGGCCACAAGCCCTGTTACTCCTATGGCTACACCTGCAAGAGTGGAATGGGAAACAAGAGGAAGAAAGTTAGCCAGGCAACCAGTATCCAACATCCGTGCAGTTTGGTTTACACTTTGCCGTAGCTGCCAATGATGATGCCAATAGAGATATAAATATTGGCATTTTTATAGATCAATACCTGAGAGAACTCCAGGAAGCCCATGTTTCTCGGCTCCTTTAATTGGTGATTGGAGGAGACCAGTGAGTCCCTAGAAATAAACAGAGTAACAACAAAGAAAGGCACTGTTGAATTTCTTATTGACAAGGAGATGGATCCAGATTTTGCTTCTAGGATAATGTGGACGAGTATTTACATGTTAAGTTGATGTACAAACAACAAGAGAATGGCAAACAGTAACAGAAAAGCGAGAGAGAGAGAAAGAGCCTGGAGGGGGAAGTGGCGCTGGAAGAATGCAATACTCATCACTCACACACAAAATTTGTGGTGGTGGCGGTGGTTGAGTTTGTATTTCTTGATACATGGTGGTTGAGTTTGAGTAGATTAATTGGGTCGTTGATGTAGGACAATACTGGACCCGAAAATTAAAATCAGTATTATTCTATGGCTGTGAACAGTAAATCTGGGATTAAACGTGCAACTTTATGGGTTATGGTTTGATGGATTGTTTGCAACAGTGGAAGGGTTTTATAGACTACTTTTAATGATAGAAAGAATAAAAATTTAGATCTGAAAATAGGGTTATAATTATAGAAAAATAGAAGAAAAAGAGAAGAAACGAAAACTAGGAATCACTCCAAGGGTTAGAATTGCATCACACATCACACAACTCAAAAGCATATAATTGCTGCAATTTTCTGAAAATATCTTTCTCTATTCTTGATTAAAAATACCACTAACTAAATATATAAAGTTCTAAAGTATCCTAACCCTAAAAGATTAGGATTCCCAGAACTCTAAATCACTTAAAATTTGAAAACTAAAATAAATTAGAACTAGAACTCTAAATTTTAGAATATCCAACATTAGAATTTGACCCAAAAGACGACCCAAGGGTTGGACTATGACCCATTCCAAAAAATTTTGAAATTACAAAAATATCCCCGACTCTAAAAAATATAAAAAAAATCACATAAAACACTAATACTACCAAACTAACTACAAGCAACTAAGAAGAAGACTCCATTATGCTTATGCAAGCTCTCAAGTAGGTTCCTCATCATCCAACATGTGCCAACTTAAAGCTTGAGCCTTGGAAATAGAAGCATCTTTCTCTCGCCTTTTATAAAGTTTATAAGGTTGTTGACACTAGTCTCCGTCGATGGTGATGGTTGCGGGGAAGGTGGTGGTTACATTGGATTTGGGGGTGGGTATGGGTTTAGTTCCAGACTTCCAATGAAGTTGGCTAGTTGTTGTTGGTTGGTGGTTGGCTTCAATTGAGTTTTGGTGGTAGTGAAAAAAGAGGGAGAGGACGAAGAAAGAAAGAGAATTGCAAGCTTCTTCCTCTAAAGGAGTTTTCTATAATTTTGGCAACCTCAAGGGAAAGAGTGTATACCTCCAAAATTTCATTAATCACGCCTTTGCTATTTGAGGATGTACCCTTTTGTTGATATTCCATTTTAGCAGCAGCATGGTCATCAAATGTAAATGCAACAATACCCTGCACGTTGGATATCGTATTATCATCAAACATAAAATGACCCATCAAACAACTCTTATATCATTAGCCATAGAAAGACCTTCTGCGCGGCTCTGCTGAATTGAGTGGCAGCATCACTTAAGGCATAAATTGTGTTACTTAATAGACTTGTGGTGCCTTGTGCCATGCCTGTAATAAGTCCAGCAGGACTCTGCAAAAGTAGTTCCAGGTGTCAGAATTCTGATGGAAGAATGGATACCTAGCAATACCCCATACCTTCAAAACACTCCTGGCTGGAACAGCCAAGAAATCTTTAAGGCCAAGGCCCACACTCCTTGCAAATCCCATGGGATTGCCTATAACACCAGCAGAGCCAAACACCTAAAGAATAAATAATCACAAGAAAAATTGAAGAGCCAATCAAATACAAGTCGAGAATTAAACAATCGCAACAATTGTAGCAACATGGCATCCAGTTTAAAAAAATCATAAATTCCTTATAATGATGTCAAATTTAATGCAAAATGAGCTCCACAAAATTGTCCCCACAAAAGATATTAACAACCAGGAAATTCAGAGAAACAATGTCTAGACCTTAAGCCGGAAATACACAAAGGTCAGATTAAGAGTTGTGAGTGCATGAGAAGTAAAGTTAGATGTCAGAAACAGCAAGTTCCAAGTTGAATCAGCATAATAGAAATAGATATGACAAGCTGCAGGCTAAAGAAGCTGAGTTCCCTTCTATTTTGCCACATATATCAACTATTCACCAATATAATGAGGCTGCTAAGCATTTGAATTTTATCCCCACATATTTTTCCTGCTCATTTCTATCACAAGTTAAATTATTTAATTTTTGATTAATTTGTGTTCCAATACAATTTTTATTTTGAACATTGTTCATATACGATAGTGTACACATGTTGACACCGTAACTTCCGGTACGGGATTATTGCTAGTTCCTACATATTTAAAGATCTCGCACAAACATGCCCACCAGGAAAACATTTCTGGCTTCACCCCTGCAAGCAAACCAAACATCCTGAATGAGTTGAAAATTTTTCTAAAGTACTTAGACACTTCAAAGTCCGTAAGATACACTCAATTATTTTCTTCTAAAATACTCCATCATGTAAACCTAAGTTTCTTTCGGAATATCAATAGTCATAAGAAAAGCTCAAGAGTTTACTAAGCTAAATGAAGATAGGGCTAACATCATCAGAAGTGGCTTCGTGTTCCAATATCTTTCTTCCCAATTAAAATATGCAGTTTCTGTTATCCATAAGGCTCGGTTAATAGATTCTCAGACTGTTCAGACTTGGACTCCTTTCGATCTTATATTACACTTTTGTGTCCCTTTGGTTTATTCTATTCTGTACGTGTTTATAGGATCATCTTTGCTTTGATCTCTCATCTTCTATTTATCCCTCAGAAGGCAACTGATAATAATTAAGCGGGGGAGTGCTGATAATAGCTTATGTTGACAGGAATTTAAAACCTCAGTCAAATGTGTGATTAGAGCAAGGTTACACTGTTTAAATATGACACACAAAATATAATATGTATAGAAAAATTGTATGGATAATTTCATTTTCCCGTTAATGTCATTTATAGATTAAATCTCTCAGGCGTGACCGCAAAGTTTCAGATTAGAGGGGTCTCACCCAAGAAATGACAAACTATTATTATTAGGAGTGTCAAGGTGAAAATGCATTCCGTTGACATGGTTAAGTGACAAATACTGATAGGGGGCGTCAGTGAAATTTCAAAAAATACAAGGGGACTGGAGTATACCTAAATTTATGTCTATCTAAAGGGAGTGGGGATGGAACTTTTCCCTGTTTCAAACTAGTCTGTGTTGATTTATTAAGGGAAAATTTATTTACACAAATAAAAGTAGTGCAAAACCATATCTGAGAGCAGAACCAGCAGCTCCCAGTAAGATATTATTTTCATACCTTTTTGGGAAAAAAAATCCACACCATTAGTTCCTTTAGACAAGAAGTTAGTATAAATAGGGAAGGTACAACTCAAATTCAGATATAACGTGAATTCAAATATAGGTGCAAGGAAGTTACATTATTGCATATATAGCTAATTAATAGTTGGTCTGGAAATCTCCGTTAAGATTCACTCTAAGTATGAGTGTATTAAGGATCAATATAAATGCAGATATACACGGTACAGATTTTGAAGGTTGAATATGGTAACAAATTTTGGGATCAAAAGCTAAAGAGTATGATCAGGAAATGCTGAGTTAGCTTAATGGTGTTACTGACAGGCCATGCGTTCTCTGAAATCAAAAGCAGGTAATGAATGGCTAACAAAACCAGTAACAGCATCACTGCATCCTTCAATTCAATACCATACTTATTTGGTCATGCTACCTCAAAACCCTATTTGTTGAGAACCACCAAAGAACACCCAACCAGTAAACAACCTAAATTCACAACACAATCTAGGATCATCTTAGAAAATACCTTGTAGATCTCGTGAAGAAGTTGCCACATGTAATGCCTGATGAAGATCTCTTGTATGGATTCCCAGCTAGCCAACTGATGTGTAATTATCAGATGCTTAAGATGAATTTGTGCTCCCTCAACATCAGCAAGAGCCATAAGACCTCTCTATAATAGATCAGTCATGAGAACCAACAGCAAAAATATATAGGAGGGTGTAGCTAGCAACATGTACTAAACAAAAGTAAAGTCACAGGATATAGGAAAAATGAAAAGGAGAAAAAGGAAGAAAAAGAATACCACATCATAAAGACTGAACTTATGAGCTAGATTTGGCAAAATTCCACGCAAATAACATTGATGAATGTATCTAAAGTACAACTGCAGTAAACTTAGTTAGACCTACAACCAATAACCAGTAATAGACTAGAAGTTTTATGACTTCAAAATGATAACAACTTTGCTCTATAACATAATAGTTCCAACTATTTTCAATACTTTTTACATATGTTGGTTATACAACATTCAAATGGTAGACTTGATATGACAACATCAACAGTATCATTCTATGTCCAAGATGTGACAATCATTCACGCCAAAATTGCGCTTACAAATGATCACATAAACAAATTGCAACACACTAACGTTTTTTCGTTCCCTATTGCACTACTTTCCTTGTTCTCCTTGAAAACAGTTTCACTTGCAAGTAGTGTATCTCCAATCATTAAGAAAAATATTAAGAAAATTTAATGTCAACTTTAGAATGCAGATGAATCTGGTAACTTCTCCTGGAGATATTTGTATTCATATCTCACAACCTTTCAGCTTGGTCAGTCTTTTTCTTCAAAAAAATTCATTTGGAAAGGCAAAGTCAAAAGTCGAAACCTTTGTTTGGTTTGTTGTCCTCAACCGGAAGAATTGTTACAATTAAAGAAGTCTTATAGAGCTAAAGTCCTAATATTTACTCTGCATATGTGAGAAGGAGAGAGTCAAATGCTCATTTATTCATTCACTACTCTTACCGATGGAATTTGTGCAATAGCTAATTCAATGTGACTGGTGAGGCTTGGGTTTGTCCTTTTACATTTTATAATTTTGTTGTAGATGAAGTAATGAGGATTTGAAAATAACAAAGAAGCTAAGCTTCTTTAGAATTGTGTGTTGACAAAAATTCTTTGGTGTATTTGGCTAGAGCAGAATGAATGGTAGAGCATCTGCGAGTGCACTCATGAGTGGGCATATTTTGTAGGAACATCATGTAATGAAAGCTTGTATGCCACAATGCACAATTAGGATCCAAAATTAGTTTATATACTTGAGTGGTCACTCCACCCATTCCAAATTAGTTTTGGGTTGGATGCTCTAACATAGTATTAGAGTTGGGCCTTGGGGGTCAGTGGACCAAGTCTCTTACCCATTTGAATTTTTTGGTATGCATTACTGTTGGTTTGTTTGTTAGCTCCATGTGCAAGTTTGAGTCCGAGTCCAAGTCCCAAGTGAGAGATGGTGTAAAGAGAGCTTGTATCCCAAATTGAACAATTAGGATCACCCAGTGTTGGTTTATATATTTAAGTGCTCACTCCACCCATTGCCAATCAGTTTAAGATTGGATATTCTAACATATGTAATACCATATGCTCATAAAAACCACTTCAAAAAACCAGAAACATCCCTAACAGGTTGTTTGCAAAACATCAATCTAACAATGTCACTGAATAGTCAACCCAACCCTTAACATGTTGCGAGAACCTTGAAGTTAAGGCTGGGAAAGTTGTCCTACTCTTGGAGATGCCAACATTAAATATTCTTTAAACTTGACGCTACTCAGATTGATTGACATGTTGGCAATATACCAACTTCTATCTAACATCTCCAGTTCAAAGGTAATGGATATGAGCTTACTAGCGTAGAATGAAAGGACTATACGCACCATGGTTTAAAGTATCGGCAAAGTCTAATACGACTAAGTCGAGTCGTATCCGACTCGGCCCTTACAAATCCAATAGCGATACACGTTATGCAAAAATCCCGATTTTCACTAGACTCGGCATTGTCTTAGTCCCAGCTTGGTGGTATCGACCTGACTCAGAGATGTATTAGGTTGACTAGGGCAATTTATACCAGAATTGGACCAATTTGATGAGGATCGTTGGCAAAATCTACAAAACCTCTAAAAAATGGAAAAGGCCAACGAAAGGGAGAAGAAACTAATTCAAGCCCTAAATCACAAAAATCAAATAATACTTCACCCTCTTTTGCAAGTATATACACAGAAGAAGAGGATCAAAAGAAATTGTAATGCAAACCTGCATGATCGAAGACAAAAAATCCCACCCTTCTTCTTGTAAGGTCTCTTCTTCCTTCCCACTGATCGACGAGGACTTGAGCATCCAGTTGCATCATTAGAGATGATTGGTCTCTCAGGTTCTCTCTCCGTCTCTGTATCTCACGTTCTCTCTTCGTCTTTGTATCTCACGTTCTCTCTCTCTCTCTATAACTGTGTGTGGTAGACGAACTAGGACTAGTCTAAAAGATAGAAGTCGGTGCTAGTTATAAATATTTTTGCTTTTCTTAATTTTTTTGTTCTCTTAAAAGACTCTTTCTCAAGTCACTTTTTTTTCATTTTTGTTGGTTACTCTCTAGAGTTTTCTTTTTTATTTTTCAGGTAAATTTTTTTATTACTTTTCGGTGCATAAAATTGTATAATTGGATATAATTGTATTTTTAATTGTTTTGAATATGTAAATAATGTGAAATTACATTAGATTTAGAGTTAAATTTAGATTTAGCCTTTGTATCTCACATTTGTCTTAGATTTAGTCTGTGTCTAATGTATTTAAGAAATTAATAACTTAGACATGACTATTTCTTCTTGGTGTAGCATAGATTATTATTTTCGGTAGCGCCTTTGTAATCTATTTTCATAATTTTTAATGTGTTAGATAATGTATTTTAAGCATATAATACATGGATGATGTTGTCTACATTTTACACATTTTTTCATAATTTTTTCAAAATTTTTTGGGACTTTTATCTAACAATTTGAGCGTATTAGTCGATACTGTGCCGTAACGTCATAACCGATGTATATCAGTAGCCTCTGAGTTGATGGTTGATACCGTGACTTTCAATCATGATACGCACCAAAGCTCTATACATAAATATGAAATGGAATAGAAGTACTCTACACTACGCCTTCAAAGGGTTATGGATTCTAGGAACCACTCCAGTTGCATTTGTTTTCTGACAAGACTCAATCAATCGAGAATTGTAGAATGATAAATCAAGAACATGATGCAAAACAATGTTTCAGGGCCATAGTATAGGTCATCAACTTGGAGGACATTGAGACGAATATGTAGTGATGTGGGGTAATGGCATTAGGCAGTACACATGAAATGTTTGATAGTAAAAATTGTAAATGACATAGAAATTCATGCCATATCAAGGAATTGTGGGATGGTGTTGGGTTCCCTTGTTCGCAAGTGGTGACAAATAAATGAGACCAAAGACTAACTCAAAATTGGCTTATATCACATTGAAATTTGATATCACTAAAAGCTTCACAACTTACATGGATATGAGATTCTCCAGATGTAAGAACCCCATGTCTAAGCATCCATGGGGCGCTGGAAAAGCTGCAACAAGACATTTATCGGGTATGTTAGTTGATAAATAATAAACAACAAAAATGAAAGTCAAATTTTGATAGACTAATAGCACATCCACAAAGAAACATGAACTGACTAACCTTAGAGTCAACTTAATGGGGGCCAAATCAAGCATTTCAACATATATTTTCTTCTGTGTTCTAGCCAGGAGGTAAATTTGCTGCCAAGGGGCACCAATTGGACCTACTGATAAATGCATAGGGTTTGTTTCACGATCCCTATTTGCTTTGACAAACTCATGATCCACTGCATATGGAGCCGACTCCCTTACACAACCCAATTTGGAGAAAAGAGGTTGTAGAGTGGAATCCATATATGACAAAAAATTGCTCTGAGACCGTGACGAGACAGTTTTAAAGAAATCAAACAAGCTCAATATCACTTCTTGCTCAAGTTCAAGGCGAACATCTGCTACTCTGCAAGCATTAAACATAACACATCAAACACCAAAGGTATTAACTAAATTCTTCGGACACACATGACTTAACAACAGACACCTTAGGATTATATATTCAAACGACACCAATGATACATCTTTATTCCTCCACATTGCTGCAGCTAAGGAGAGCACGGGTTCACACTCAGTTCTAATTTGTGTCACACTTTCACTTTTCATCTTTGTGGTGTTCTCCTTAGTTTTCATCAGGCCCACTGAACTGCTTTTATGCTCCTGGTTGAAGGACATGATAACAGGGTATGGAGTATTGTGCAACTGGTTGTCAATTTGCAAGGATGAAATTTGGAATGAAAACTTTTGTTGATGCATACTCTGGACAAGATCAATCATTGTGTTCTTTGCACAGGCAAAAAGCAACTCCTACATAAGACAAGGCAGCCACAGAGATTAAGATAGCATAAGTTGTGACAAAATAACACAAACACCCCCTCACATTTGAACAATAATACAAAGACCATGGTTCAAGGTCGTGATATCGGCCATCAACTCAGAGAGCTCTGAGACACATCGGTCGCGGCATCGCGACGCGGCATCAGGCAATATGATTTAGAAGAAAATGTTGAACATGATGAAAAATTTATAACATATCACGGTTTCGCGGAACCATATCGGTCAATTTGGCGACGATATTTCGGGAACTCGGGATTAACTTAGATACAACTTGGACGACTCGACCAACTTGTGCGAGACTCAGGCTTTATATGTATTGTATAACGGTATCGTCTCCGAAGGTGCCGAAACGGATACGACTCAGCCGACTTGTATCAGTATCGGCCGATACTTTAAACCATGACGAAGACCCTAATGATGGATGATGACATCAGACAGAAGTTCAAATATTTCCACGAATAAACTCTCTTTTACCACAATAAATAATAAAAAATTATGGAATTTTTATAATTAATTAAAATTTAGCATCATTTACAATAGCAACATTAAAATTACCTATGTGATTGTGGCTAAATCTGGTCAAATATTTTGGTTAAAATGAATAGATAAATATCTATCAAATTGATTAAACCAACCAACCTAACTCTCCTTCTCCAGCAACTGTGGCAAACAAAACCCCTTTTGCTTCCCTCAACAGCCACCAACTACAACAGCCATGACCACCACCCAGCTCCAATGGCACATAATCCAACCACCCTTTGTTACCTCCCCTTCTGGACATTGTGTGCACCTACAACATAACCATTCTCTCTCTTCCCTTCCCTCATTTATCTCTCAACGATCACTACATCACCACACACACACACCCATTACACCAAATATAAACACTATCACCAGCATCTTGAAGAGACACTAGATTACCACAGGTCCACAACACTAACTGATCTGGATTGATTCACAAACTCAACTACAAAATTTTTGAGAGCTTAAACACAAAACACAACAGATGATTTGCTTAATGTGTGTGACGAGAGAGAGAGAGAGAGAGACAAAAACAGATATAGAGAGAGGTGTGATCTATGTCTTTGTGCATGTGTTTATGTTTCCGTGTGTTTCTTGATGGAGGTGGCTGATATCGGGTGGCCAAGGAGACGGGCAGAGGCGACTCTAAGAGGAGGAATTATTTGGGTGATGCCGGTGGATGGGGGTTGGCTGCATGGGTGTTCGTTTGCGAATGCGTATGAGGAGGAAGGATGGTTGTGGCTGATCTGGGGTCAAGAAGGAAGAAGGCGGAAGCACCGCTGATAGGTGACAACTGGTTGGTTGATCTAGGGTGGTTCAGTTTTAAGGTCCAGGGATTAAAACTACCCCTTCTATCGATGAGCACAATACCCTCTCTTTCATCCATATTCTTTATGCCACATTTGAAATGTTTAAACTTCGTTTTTTTGGTGGCTGGTGGTGGTTTTGAGTATGTCTCAGTGTTATTCTTATCTTGAACATTGGTTACAATAGGTGGTGGTGGTGCGTGGTGGGCCCGGGTCCATGGATGGTATGGCAGTGGCCGTGACTAGCTAGGGAGGGTTTCTATTTTTCATTTACTGGGTCTGGACAGGTATGGGTCCTGATCCGAATCGCCTTCGTTATTGCTTTACTCTGACCAGTTTAATAGAGGGTAAAATGGTCTTTAGGTTGATATCATTAAAACAGAACAAATGTCAATTGAGGTCTTTTATTATCCAAACGTTAGGAGGTCCGTGGAGTATTGACAAAACTCAAGGGATTCCTTTCTGATATACCTGTGGGTAAGCATTCACTATGGAGATTCCAATGGAAGGAAGACTAACTGATATCCTTTCGCTGTAATCAACAGAAGTTTCCTGTTTCTGGTCATGTTTTCTTTTCTCCTTTGACCGGGGAACAGGTGAACCCTTCTCATCATTCAAAATATGATAACTTGAATCAATAATACTGAGAACCTGCATCAGAGAAAATAAACCACTAAGCAAAGCTACTGAAGCAAAAATCTGCCATCCATCCCAAAACAATAGAGATGCACCTTCGTCGCTCCTTCAGCATGGACAGAAACAAGTAAAGTTCTTTCAGGTTTCTGGGAAAAAAAAAAGAAACGCACAATTCTTAAGCTCAAGCAACAAGAAAAATATTAAAACAAAGTTCTTTCAGGCTTTTGAAAAAGAAAAGCAAGAAAAGCGCCAAGTCTTGAGCTCAACTGGTATATAGCAGAATCAAACTCGCAAGGTCAATTAACAGATAAATGACAAAACCAAGCTTAAGAGCACAGCTACAAATCCACAGCAGTATGAACAAAACAATAATTTTACAAGTCCACCAACAAATGAGATCCATTAACACTCAACATCTGTTAGATCACCTCAATCTCTAGTTATTGCAATTGTTCTAGCTATCATCAACATTTAATGCTTCATACATCCGAGTAGCACAAACCTGTAATTTTTTCTGATGCAGCGTCACCAATTTCTTTAACAAATTCCTTTCATAACGAATAAATGCAACAATGCAAGTGTATGAACTAAATGCAATAGAATAGAATATCTTTGCTGCTTCAAAATCCCAGATATTAATATAGGGCTGACCGAAACTGTGGGAACAGATTTCAAAAATCAGCAAGAAAAGCTATAGTTTGTATATAAATATGTACTCGTAGTAAAAAAAAACAATTAAAAAAGCACAATCTATCAACATCAGACTGGATATTGATGTCATCAATCAGCTGTCTAACAGATATTCTTATTCCAAAATGGCTGCCGTCTCTTGGCTGGATCGGTGCTGTGCAGTCATTTACACATTTGTGCAATATGTGTGGGATGTAGAAGTAGTTTGATCAAAGACCAAAAAACATACCTCAGAAGTTGAAGGTAAGTATACATGCCTGTGCTCTTTTACATCATCAAGAGCATATGACCCTATGAAGCGTTCGCCAGCAACCTACCACGCTTAATTGGGTATTAATTAAATGCTCATAAACTATCCAATAGTTAGAACTTAAAAATGGAGCCATACCTCAACAATAAGACGATGCACATAACAGGGTTCATCCCAGGCATAAGGGCAAGATGTGTAAGAGTGGATTATAGTTTCAAAATTTTCACACCGTTGTTGGTAAATTCGTAGTCTCTGCAATGTGACACAGAGTTAACATAAAAAAACGAATCAACTTGTATGACATAAAAAATTCAAAGCCTTGCTTTGTAACAAATTGAGCACTCATTATGCTAGAAAAAAGACAGCTAAAATTTTGTTCTATATAAATATGCCACAATTTGAAACACTCTAAAGTAGCTGTGCCTTGGTGTGTGTGTTTGTGTGAGAGAGAGGACAAAATCTTTTCGGGCGGGGCAGTCTTTGTTCCTTAAAGATGGAAAGCTAATTCATACTATGAGCCTTTTAAGTTATTTATCATGATGAAGATATCATTTTTCTTTTTACATATCTCTATTAAGATGCTCGGTTTCAACTAAATAACAAGAAAATGTCCTCTTTGGCAGTAAATAAAAAAAATATAGCTTCTGTTAATCAGACAGAGCTAGCAGCAGACAAAGTGCCACTTCAACATGGCTTTGGCAAACACACCCCTATCCCCCCACCTTAAAAAAATAAAAATAAAACCATCTTGACTTGGGACAATATTGAAGAGGCTACAGTTTATAAGCTAAGTGCAGGAGCAATATGCAAATTACAAATCCAACTGCACAACAGAAACTTGCTAATGGCTAGAAACTCACTACAGGAAATGAGAAATAAATTAACAAGCATCCTCGTCCATTAAAGTTGCAAGATCATTAAGGAAGAGAAAATAAGTAAATGCCATCACAATTCCTACTCTCGAGGTTTGACTACTACCACAGTAAAAACATTAAGTAGACTTATACCTACCTCCTTAGAGAAATTATCAATTCTGTAAGGCATAAAACCTGTATCATCATCAGACAAAAGAATTAAGCTCGTCCCAGAGTTTCCGTGGGGGTTTCCAATAATCCTTTCATCACTGATGGAAACATCAGCATTCTGCACTTCCACACGTATCATACTCACTGCACCAGAAATGTAATTCCGCATTTTCACTTGAGTATCACCTAAATGTTCTGGCAAGAAGCACCCTGACCATTGCCATCCAGGTTCGTCAAAACGAACTGAAACTAATAACTCCCTGAAACATAGTAAGGCATGTTTATCAAAATAAGAATAGTACATAACAGGCAGAATATGAAGGAAAGAAAGATACAATTTCGAAACTCTTTAAGTATCGAGATTGTAAAATGGATTTAGATGGTTAAACTCCATCAAGTTGATGTGAGGTAAGAGACCTAGATACATAGTAGCCTTAGAATGGTTAAACTTAAGTAAAATGGATTTAGATGTTTAGGAGGAATATATGTAGCATGAATCTCGTACAAATATGAAAAAAGTTTTTGAAATTTTGAGGATTGGTTTTGAAACGAGTATTAGAGTCATGTATAGAGACTTTTTAGATATCAACCATTCGTCCTTAAAAGGTTAATGAGAGCATTGGTTTAGGTCGAAAAACCAGTGGGTAGAACGCTCTTTAAGAGCTCTACAAGCGCGCTCTACGGTTGTTGAAAAATTGATTAGGTTTGAAGTTTTGAAACAGTGGTCAAAACTCACTAACCACTCGAGCAGTCCACTGTTCACGACTAAGATGGATTTTGTTCTCGTAGCCTGCATTCTCTGACCTCTCTCCGAATACTATCGAACTAAGAGGATTCTAAGAAAAGAAGAAGGAGGATTCCAAGGGCGCATTGTGGAGCTCAATTTGTCACCTATTTAAGCTAGTTGTCGAAGGCTTGCAGTGGACTTTGGAGTGAAGGTTCAATAGAGAAAACTTCTAACCATAGTATTAGTTGAGGTATAAGTGGGCTCAGAATCTTTGTGTGAAGCTAGTGGATTAGGTTAGGTGGACTAGTTCCCGTGGTTTCTCCCGAGAGGATTTTCACATAAAATTGCTTGCATTGTGGTTGTGTTTGTCTCATTCATACTCTAGTAGTTGCTTGCAATCCTACCTTCCTCACATACTTAATTGAATAATCTTCTAAATTGCTTTGTGGTGTTGGCCAACATAATTGAACATAACCAACAGAATTGAAGGGTGTAGGGAATTAGAGGTTTTTTTGCTTAAATCTTTAAATTGGTGAATTGGGTTTTGTTAATTTGGGGGATTTGTGTTAATTGGTTAATTAATTGATAATTGGTAGAATTAGATTTTAATTGGGCATTAATTCCACGTTTGAGTGCCTAAAACCTATTCACCCCCTCTAGGTCAAGTACGTCTGTTTCAGCGTGTTGGGAACGATCACATTCACACTCTCAAATTGTAATCTTCAATTTTCAACTCATCCACAAGAAGCTTTCTTGGAATGACCCAAGGTTATTTGGGTTGGTTTGTAAGTGAATCTTGGCGTAGCACAGATCGGCTGCAATTAGGGTACCAATTGTGTTTGGTACAACTACTGTTTGAGTCTTATAGGCTTTATTGTGGTCCTGTGGCTTGTGTAGGTGTGTTTGTGAATCTGCTTTACTTCTATGATATGTGTGGGTAAGATTACTGTTTCTTTTGTGGAATTCTAGATCAATTCTCTTCCTCTTTGATCAATAACTAATTACAGGTTTCTCAATGGCAATTTCGGATGATGTCAAAGGTCATTCAATGAATTATATAACTAGACAAATTACTTTTATGAAATCGAATGGTGGTTGAGGTTAATGAATTAAATTTCATTTCGAAACGTCTAGCCCGTTTCCATTTCCATTTCCATGGAGATCGAAACGAATCACTGATTGATTGTCAAAATTTCTATGTTTCGGTGTGTTTCAAGGTGTTGTGAGTTGTTTCAACCTATATTTCAAAATGTTTCGGTTGTTTCGACCAATGTTTTTGAAAATAAAATTTTAAACTTTTTTTTTATTTTCATCTTATTTCCGAAATATTATCTAAACATTTCCATTTTTAAACTCACCGAAACTATGCAACGAAACAAAAATTTGATCCTTGGTCGAGGTATTATCCATAGTAGACGTAGTCGTGGTTATTCCGGTCATGGTAATCGTTCTCGGTGAAAATATACTTATTATGGTGACACATGACATACTGATGATTATTGTTGATATACGTAGAGGAGACCAACATATGCTAATCATGCTCCTAATAATACTTAAGGCTCTCTAATGTTTCAGGCTCCTACCGATGGTCCAGTTGCATTTACGTCTGGCTCTCATGATAATCTTCCTTATCACCTAAGTCAACTCCTCCAACAGTTGTCTTTCAATTTCTCCATATTTGTCTACCCTATTGCCAGTTTTGCAGTTGAAGGTAACTTGGCATGTATGGTTGCTCTTCGTCTCCTTGGATCATTAAGTGAGGAACTAGTGCTCATATGTCTAGCATTTTTTCCCTATTCTCTAGTTCTCATTCGTGTAACTCACCTATAGTGTTAGCTGATGGTTGTTTTCAATCAGTACATTTGATTGACAAGCTCCGTCCTACTCAGTCTATACATTACCTTCTAGTTTATTCATTCCTAATTTTTTCCTTTAACTTGTTATCTTGGTGTAGCACAATTTTCTACATCTACTTATGTTTTCAAGGACCTCAAGATGAAGATCGTGATTAGTTTGGAACATGAGAACAATGACCGTAACTACTTGGATCTCAGAGATTCTGTTCCTGCCTAGAGTTGTGTCAAGTTATCTCTAATTTGAGTACTTCTTCTATGTTGGAATGTGAGCCTTGTCAGTTAGTTAAACATTACCATAATTCTCTTCCACCTAGTTTCGAGTCGCTAATCTAATCTCTTTAATGTTGTTCATTCAACAATTTGGGTCATGCAAGAGTCAAAAATATGTCAGCTTTTTAGTATTCTATAATCTTTGTTGATAACTTCTCTTGTATGATTTTGTTATTTCTTATGAAAGATCGAACTAAATTGCTTAAGATTTTTATTATTTTTTACAATAAAATTTTGGTTCAGTATGATATATATGTGAAAGTTCTTCGATTTGACAATACCCTTGAGGATATTGAATCATTTATAAAAACTTTGTGCTAACCATGACATTGCCATCACATAACTTGTCCACATACCTCCAATCAAAATAGTGTAGCTAAGCGAACATCAACATTTGTTGGATGTTGCCCGCACAATGATGTTTAACATACATGTGCCAAAACCCAAATGGGCTAATAGTGTTCTTACTTCTGTTTATCTTGTTCATTGCATGCTTTCCTCCATTTTGGACAAGAAGTTTCTTTTCTTCTTGTTTGTCTAGATATATTGCCATTCACTTTAACTCACTATAACTTTGATTATGTTGTCCATCTCCATCTGTTTGGCTATGGTCGTGATAAGCTATTACCTCACTTAGTGAAATGTATTTTCTAGGATTGGTACAATGATCTCATTTCTCGTCGTTACCATGCATGTGCCGATGTCAGCTCTTTAAGTCATCTCTCTTCTTCTCGGTGTTGAGCCATAATCTTTCTTTCTTTGTCAGGCCTTCTTTGAGTCATCTCCCTCCACTGGTGTATGCTACTCCACTACACGTTTACCATCTATCAAAGGATAGTCAAATGTTACCTTATGCTCCAGCTTCATAGCCAACATCGATATCTACACTGAGGTCTAGCCTCCTAAGTTATCTACTACTCCATTATTTGATCTACCTATTACATTACGGAAAGGTACTCCTAGTTGTACACAACATCCTATTTCAAATTTAGTCTTATTTCATCGACTTTTTCCATCTTTTCACTACTTTGCATTGTAATTATCTTCCATGTCAATTCTAAGCTCTTTCAACCAGGTTTTATCATCACTTGGATGAAAATTAGTGATGGATGACGAAATGAAGGTTACTTATGAGAATGGGACATGGGACCTTGCTCCATTACCTCCCGGTAAAAAGCATGTTAGTTGTCGTTACTTGTATTTTGTGAAATATCTTATCGATGGTGCTATTGAGTGATTAAAGGTGAAGCTGGTTGCCAAGGGCTACACTCAAATATATGATATAGATTATTGTGAAACATTTTCTTCTGTTACTCCTCTTAACTCTAATAGAGTTCTACTTTTTGTTGCAGCGAATTTAGACTTAACCTTTGTATTAGATGGACATAAACAATGTTTTCTTAAAAAGAGATCTACAAGAAGAAGCACACATGGTGTAGCTACTGGGATATGTTGTTTCTAGGAAAGAACAATTAATGTGTTGCTTAAAGAAAACATTGTATGGAAAGCAAAATCCCAAGGGTAGCAACACAAGTGTCTAGGGGCAAGAACATGTATGTTAATGCCTTGGCCACCGTAGCATCAACACTTAAAAATAACCTGACCAGAACTATCTTGTGGAAAGTCGAGAAGAGCCGAGCATCGAGCTTAAAAGCACAAGGGAAACATTCTCAGCCGAACAAAGCCCGAGTTGATCGTGAACATCCTCAAAGAAGAAAAACTCCCTAAAGAAAGAAAAAAGCTTACAACTTAAGACTCAAGTCTGCCAGGCTCTGATTGTCAACTAGTAGAGAACTTTATCGACGGCTCTTCACTAGGTCATTCCTGTTGTGCATCCACTCGAGTATAATCGAGTATTCAAGATCCATGAAAGGAGTTGTGGAGCACATTCAGGAGGAAAATCACTTTCGCACCAAGTAATTTCACAAAGCTCCTGATGGCCCTATATGCAAAAGGATGCTCAATAGTATGTAAGAAAGTGTAAGAAGTGAAAAAAGCACTCAAACATCTTGAGGCAGCCAACCCAAAATCTGAATCCCCTAACAAGTCCATGGCCCTTTGCACAATGTGGACTGGACATTGTGGGACCAATGGCTAGGGTACCAGGGAATAAAAGATTCCGCCTCATCGCACTTGATTATTTTACAAAAATTGGTGAGAAAGTAGAGCCCTTCGCTAGTATTCGAGACATAAATACAAAGAGGTTCGTGCGAAAGAACATTATAACAAGATTTGGCATCCCTCGGACAGTGATCTCAGATAGCGGGACTCAGTTTGAGAATAGACTTTTCAAGGCCTTTTATCATCACTTTGGGATCAAAAACTATTACTCCTTCCTAGCCTATCCACACTGCAACAGACAAGAAGAAATTTTCAATAACACAATCATGGATGGGATCAAAAAAAGGTTAGCAAAAGCCAAAGGTAGGTGGGTAGAAGAATTACCAAGCGTGTTGTGGGCATACCGAACCATACCGCAGCAAGTAATAGGGAAACACTATATGCATTAGCTTATGTGATGGAAACAGCCATCCCCCATTGAACCATACCACGCCGAGTAATAGGGGACTCTATATGCATTAGCTTATGCGATGGAAGCAGCCATCCTCATTAAAAATAGACTCCCAACTGGTAGATATGAACTTGTGGATACTAGAGGAAACGGGAAATAGATCACCAAAGATTTGGACCTAGCAGAGGAGAAAAAGGTACTAACACCCATATGGATAACATCATACCAACAACAGATGACCCAATTATACGACACAAAGGTCTGAACAAGGGGGGATTCGTGATCGAGGACCTAATTCTTAGAAAGGTGATGGGAACCACAAAGAATCCCAACTGAAGGAAAGCTCAACACTAATTAGGAAGGTCTATATAGGGTTACTTCGATTAGAGGGACCAGATCCTATAGACTCGAGACGCAAGCTGATTCCACGAACATGGAATGCAGCAAATCTCAGAAAGTTTTACCTCTGAAGTGCCTTCAAAAACATCTGTAGAAAAGGATTAAAATACCTTCAATCATTGAGCTAGAGTGCCTACAAAGACAAGATAATAGACATACTTAAAGTGCCCTTAAGATTGATTAGTTAGAAATTTTTTACTTAAAAAATTGTATGATAGTTTCAACTTCGATGAATACAATTTTTTGTTACAAAATGCCTTTGTAAAAACTCTTATCGAAGAATTGTTCAGGATATAGGCTGAACAGGAGCCTTTGACAAGGCAAAAGAAAAAGTCATAAGAATAAAATTCCGGGCAAAAGACTCGAAAAAGCGTAGGCACAAGGCAACCTACGACAGAGGCAAGGAGGAAAAAATATTGACAGAGACTGGGGCGTAGTTCAAGTACACCCACCTGGTCAAACTTAGGCCCATGGCTAGGCACAACGGTGCAAGCTGAAAAGAGAAAAGATTTGAGAATGAACAGATTGGAGAGTTGGTGTAAACAGCTATAAAGGCCCGAGTCCTTCATTGAGGTCAGGTCTCTTTGCGAGGGATGGGACCACAGTTAAATTTTTTCTAAGTATAAAAGCCCGAGTCCTTCATTGAGGTCAAACCTCTTTGCTAGGGGATGGAGGTCATCATTACATTTTTTTCTTAGTATGAAGGTCTGAGCCCTTCATTGAGGTCGAGCCAGTTTGCAAAGGGGATTAGGCCCATAATTGAAAATTTTCTCAGTGTAAAGGCCCCAGTGTTTCACTGAGTTCGAGCCTCTTTGCTAAGGAGAAGGTGACCTAACTCATAATTTTTCCAAGAGTGAAAGCACGAACCCTTCATTAAGCCAGGACATTTTTGCTAGGGAAGAACAAGAATGACTAAAATCATGCTTAGTAGGAAATCACATAAAGAAATAGGGATTCTCATTCATTCATTTAAATGAGGGGATACATCCATAAAAGCAAAAAGAAACAACGATTACAAGAAAAGGAATTCAAGAAGTGCTTCTAGAAAGGGGGTCGATAGCTACCTCCTGCTCAAGATCAACACTGCCTGAGGAAGGCAGAGTTAGAAAATGCATGGAGAAAAGCTCGGAGTCAAAACCTTCATCGTAAGCTTTGTCTTTAGCTACTTTAAATGAGGATTGGAGAGCGTTCAACTCTTCCCGCAAAGAAACAAGTTTTTTTAGCAAAGCAGAATCATCTTTTGAGCTCCTAACCTTGCTAAGTTTGGCTATGTAAGCTTGAAGCAAAGCATTTTCCCAGTAACCTTCCTAGACTTGCTCTCATGACACCCACACTTCTCGACGGCAAGAGAGTTCGACCGAAGAGCCTTTTTCATCTTCTTGCCCTTTTTCACAATGCGAGGTCCAAGATCACGAACTCGTATAAGGCGCTAAAGAGAAAAAAAGGTTTCAAAAATTCAGTAAGAATGATGAAAAACCTAAAAAGTTAGAATATAGTTCATACTTCTCGATGATATTACATCTTTTTCAAAGTAAACATTGTTAATTTTTCTTATTATTGTTAAATAATCATTAAAATTATAATTGTTAAGTCGTTAAATAATAATAAAATATAAAATATATTTTATTATAGTCATGTCATAGTCTTATTCGTATCCTGTTTTTTTAAGTTTTATCGTATCCAAGAATCAAAATTTTGTTTCGATGTATTGTTTCGGTCACCTGGGAAACAGAAACATTTCAATCTGTCTCGGAAACGTTTCGAAAACATAGTGACAAAAATAAAAAATTTAAGAATTTTTTTCTAAAATATTGACTTAAATATATCAAAGTATTTTGAAATACCTTAAAACATTCCGAAACAAATGCATGAAAATATTATAATACATCTCAAAATATTATGACATACCTCGAAATATTAGAATTTCGATTCCATCAATAATTCATTTCGGTCTCTTTGAAAACGGAAATGTTTCGGACGTTTTGACTGTTTCGAAATAATATTTTAATCCTTGATTGTATCGTCATTATTTCGTATTGTACCCATATCCTGTATTCGTATTTGTACTTCTTAAGCAACAGTAGATGGCCTGATCTAGACATTCCTCTTCTTCGCAGCATGCTTCAACCGAACGAGCTCAGTTATACAAGCAAAGTCTTCGGTAGGATCCTCATCCTCATACAGCCCGACTTAGTAAGGTGGTTTGGCTAAACTGAAGTAGGCTCGGTAGGTTTAGCTTCAACTGGAGGTTTCAAGGGTAGAGAGCCTCTAGAGCTATTCCTGAACATCAGGTTCAGGACCAAGTTGATGAAATTGGTGACAACCCTTCTTCCTCTTTCCATTCCTCTTTGTCGGAGACACCTTGGTGGTGTTGATGAAGTTGCATCTCTAGCCCAAGACGCACTACCATTGACAAGTTATGCAAAAGTTACAGAGGGTATAGGAATGATTGGTGGGCTCATAACCGAGCAGGATGTGTGGAGTGCGACACTAGGCGTCCCAAGTCCCAAACGACCAAACCTTTTTTATACCTGAAAAGTTGACTCTTGATTCGAGAACCATTCCTTTGGCAATTTCCCTTACAGAAAGACACAGAACTCAAACCCAAAAGAAAAAACGAAAAGGTGTAGAGCAAAAAGAAAATCGGACACCACTAAAGATCACCTAGGACACCATGTTCATAAGGACAGTTGTAGCGATGCTCCTCGCTCTCTCTACATTCTCAATTATCAAAAACAGCAATGTTCCTCACCCTCTCTATGTTATCAGTGATCAAAAACAAACAAGACATCATTTTCATGGCCCTTGTTCAAGGCAGGAAGATGGGTGACCACTGATCAGGTATCAATCGGTTTTCCTAACTCGAAAGTATTAGTTTTTCTCATAAATGGGAGTGATGATGTAGAATAAAGTATATTCCAAAGACACAGATTGGTTCCCTGGAAATGCCCCTTTAAATAAATACATAAAAAAAAGTGCTAGAAAACGATGCCAAAAACATTGAAAGCCAGATCATTTAATGTGCAAATGACCATTTCTACATTGAAAAGACACAGGTAATACATTTTCGTAAGAAAGGAAATGATTGTAAACTGAGAGCGTTTCTCAATGTGCCATGTGAAAAACATTTTCTAGGGGTAAGTGAAGTGGTTTAGAAAATATGTACCGTGATGTGACAATTGGACTAGGACACGTGATAAAGTCACGTCCTAAAATGGTTTGGCTCGGCCATGAACGAGCACATGGAGTTCAAGCAAGGGCAGTGGTAGATCGAACAGATTTTTGGCCCCAACCGAGCAAATTGAATAGGAGCCCGAACATTAAGTAACTCAGTGGAAAGCATTCCTGAGCAAGGAAATGTGTGTCAAGCAGAGCCTGGTGAGGTATGCTTGAAAAGAGATGCTGTGAAACTACAATTTGAGCAAGAGTTTGACTCTATCATCTAGAGAATGAGCCATATCACCCCTATCCAAACAAGAATAGATAGCTAGGCCATCCCTAGAAACCCGAGGCAGTTGACTGGATGAAGACTAGGCACTAAGAAAAATCAAAGACCCAACGAAAAGGTAGCTAGGCTATCCTAAATAATCTGGAACAATGTTAGGAGTCAATAAGGAAATTACCTAGATCATAGGTGCACATTAGACACATGTGACCTAAAGAATCGGCGAGTGAGAAAGGTAGTTTAAAAAGATTCCTGCACGAATTAGGGAAGAGATTAGGGAAGAGTTGGCTAGAAAATAGGAGTATTGGCTAGAAAATAGGAGTGCCACCTAGTACAATCAATGATTGAAACCCAAGAGGCTACAGACACTATAAATACCGCGTAAAGCTTAAGTCTAAGATACACATTTATTTCCCTACAATTTCTGTGCTTAATCCCAGAGCCCTTACTGACTTAAGTATAAAAGTACCTCCGGTATGTGAATTCCAGTCCTTGGTAGTTTGTTTGTTTTGTAGGAAGGAGGTACACTTTGTTAACCTTTCCCACAAAAGAATTGAGCACATAGAATCTACGTTACACCTAGTATCAGGTACGGGATTTTTTCCTCGTACACTGGTAATGGTAAAATGCTAAATACCTTGTTGTATCTGTCCAGTGAAGATGGGAATGTTGTCCGATTCCCAAGTGAAAAATACAGTCAGTACCCTTCTGCTTATAACACACATCCTTGCTGCATGCATTGCTGATTACATATCTGCATAAACCAAATAAAAAAAGCAAGAAAAAATAACATTATCCTGGGGGAGGACAAAGATGGCCAGCTAACTAATGTAATTTGATGTAAAAAAAAAAGAATAAAAATACCTGGGCTGGAATGTAGTAATTCTTGTCCTTCCAGAAAATGGTTTATCCAAGGCACTTGATGTAACCGATATTATGTATGCAGCATTTGTAAACGGTTGGGGAACCAGAACACTAGTTGAACCAGTCGGTGGAACAAGGAAAAATGGCATTGACCAAGAACAGGTTGGGATGTTATCCATAACACACTCAGATAGGCACCGACTAACTTTTACCATAATTTCACTAGCAGAGGAATTGGGAGAAGGAGAGTACATGCAAGCATTTACTTTCTTATAATCATCGTCAAAATCACGAAACTGTAAATTCAATTGACTGCTTGAAGTTGAATCACTCTTCAGATCACTTAAGGATAAGTTTGGAGCTCGTAAATCATGCTTATCCATATGCCTATGAGGAATTGTAGAGGAACCAGACAAAAAGAAAGGTTTGCTGGAATACTCACTGCAGTGTGAGATTATATTCTTCCTGGTTGAGACAATGTAACTTGCCAAGGAAGAATCTCTCAGGTTATTTTTGTGTGGAGCTGTTTGCAAATCATGACTAGCAATTAGAAGGCCCAGACCATCTTTTCTGCCCCGAACTAGGTCCTGCTCGTCCAGATCATAACAGGAAGGAACAGTGCAACCACATCCTTTCATTTCACAAGCAGCATTTGAAACAACGAGAGAAAAACCAGAGCAATTATATAACAAAAATGGGACAAATAAGCAGATTTCACGAGCTCCAGAGAAGGCATCCATTGCCTTATCCATTGTGACATATATAGGACCTAAAAGAATAATACACTAGTCTTACTACTGATTGTGTGGAAAAAAAAAAAGAAAAAAAAGTTGCATAAGTGAAAGAACACAAGGTAACATAAATTACCAAAACCTATATCAGAATCAAAGGCAACGGTTTCAGATAGAGAGAACTTCGTTCCACTAAACTTGGCCATCGCTGCAAATGTTTCCGCACGTGGGAATTTCAAAGTCGAAGATTTGTATCCACGCATAGAAAATGAAATTTCCAGGTCATGTGAAGAATCAACATGGAAAAACGAAATTTCTACCTGAAAAGATTAGCATTCATACAAGTCAATTGGTCTTGGGATGACCTGGAAGAAACATTTGAGAAAACCTTATCCAGTTCATAAAATATCAGGTTAGGCAAAACTGGCTACAAACCTCCTTAAGTAATGCTGTGCGTGTAACTCCGCGACTTTCAACTGTCAATGATACTGCCTCTGGAAGATAGCTTTTCACAACGAACGGAGTAGTAAAACTCACCAGGTGAATGTATCGCTTCTGCGACTTGTCCAGATTGTGCAAAACTTGGCCACTCCTCTCAACTGATTGCTTTATAGTACTATTCAAATACAGACCTGAACCCCTCTTTTGCCTGCCAATGGAAGTCAAGCACATATCTTGTGCTGATATGCAAAAGCGAAATGGATCACAGCTGGGATGAGATGGATATGAAACAAAGGAACGCAAAAACCCAATCCTACTTTCATGAGAAAGAATATTTGAGATGTTATAAGCTTCACTCCACAGGCAACTGTCGTCGAGTGGACGGCATCTCATGCAGCCTGCTTCAGCCAGATGAAGAGGTAGAGGAAACTCCTGACCAGGATATATCGGATCAAGGATCTAAAATGAAAAACAAAATATTAAGTTGAAAATTGCACAATCACATATGGCATACAAGCAACTGTAAGGATAAAGGAATCGAACAGACTTTTTGATTCATACCTTAGGTGATACACCAAAAGGAATATCAAAACGCACTTCAAGTGGTACAGAAGTTGCATTTAAAAGAATTACCTGAAATTACAGCTTCATTAGAAGCTTAAAAGCATGAAAATAATAACAAGGACATCTTAAACTTGGACATACCGTTGAGTACAACCGCATTAACTTTGAATACCGCTGTACAGAAACATCAACTACTACAGGAACAACAAAGCCACCATTTGTATCTGCTCCATTGTTCACTTCTACATTTTTATTTGCTTTTAAAGCATCCTCAATATTGCCAACTTCTAAGTTATTTGATGTCTTAGAAAAATTCACCTCAAAGCAGTGGAGACCTACGAGATCCATTGAAATAGGAGCAGAAGGCATACATGTTCCCTCAAGTTGAATAATAATATAATGATGTGCTACTCCAGTAAGCTGCTTGTCACTGAGTTTGTCAGAAGAATTAGCAGGCCTACCATGAAAAAGTTGTTGCTCCGCACTTTCTTCAATATAAATTGGAATTGAAGAACCTGGTTGCAGACATTTCTTATCTTTTAACGCTGCTGCATCCAAATCATCAACACTAACCAACCCTTGACAGATATAGAATACCAAAGGCAATGAAGTCAAATTTTGAAGTATATAGGGAGCAAAGTGTCCAGTATGTACATTATCACCACTCTGAGAATTTAAGAATTTTGGGTTTTCAGAAAGATCATTCAGCCCCATTAGACCCCAAGCATCCTTGATCATCTCAACTGCCCTAAAAACAACCTTTCAGAAACAAAAGACAAGTAAATAAAAAACTTTAACAGTTCATGAATATTAAATATTCAATTACTGCACACCAGATAAGTAACAGACATTTTCAGTAGCCTTCACTTGTTCCAAAAAATAAACTTAGAACACGTTGATTCATTATGAACATACTGTTAGAAGCTCTTTAGTTTTTTTATTTTTATCGTTAATATTATGAAAGGTATTATGTCATTTTAACATTTAAAGCTACAAATATAAGTGCCATCCTTTATTTTCACTTCTTTTCTTTTTATACTTGTTCGACATGGTATCAAAGCCGGTTTTGTGTGTTAAAGTTCTTATTTACAATATTACCCTAATTGTTTCCCTACTATAAATAAGAAGTGTTGGGCAACACAACCGTACACATATTAATCTCAAGATTGCAACTTATCTTGTTATCAGAGCAATTATTTGTTAATTACAGAAACAAATCTAGAGAACAGAGGACTTACCACTCCAGTTCACATGTCGGAGACTCTGGCAGAAAGTGACGTCAACATAACGTTCGAAGTTTCCAATGACCGAGATCTACCTCCTAAGTTGACTCTCTGCCCCGACATTTATGGTGATTTTTTGTAAATTTTTCCGAGGTCATCTTACTCGACTTTTCCTTTTTCGAATATTTGTTTGTAAAATCCTTGGTTTTTCTTCAATCTGGCACTGTTCTGGTGCTTCTGATGTTTGGTTTTTCTTATTTCTGCAAAGTATGTATCAAATTGGGAATATTTTGCCAGCCTCAAGTTTTAAATTGGTGGTGTTGTTGTGATTGAATCGAGCAATTGGAGCATATTGGTGTGTTTTCCCTGCTCAAAGTGTTCTTTGGGTAGGCATTGTGCTGCTGGTTAGCCTACCGTTGTGTGTTTTGGAGTGGTTTTCAGAGTAGTTTTTTGGTGTAAGTTGTTGGTGATTGGTAGATTATTGGTCTCTTTCCCTCATTCATACTTAACTGTATTTCATTTGGGTTTTATTATGGCAACTTCAGAAAAGGTAAAGGAACCAAGAGGCAATCAAGTTAGACAGGTTCTTTCAGTACTTGATCTGGTGAGACAAATTTCATCCATGAAATTAAATGGAAGCAATTACTACACATGGTCACGTGCAATTAAAGTTTTCCTACGGGCTAAAAAGAAATCCAAGTATTTGACTGAAATTCCTCCTTCTAAGGACTCTAAAATTCTGAAAACTCATGGAGTAAGAATTCTTTGGTGATGGTTGTGGCTTACCATGGAACCATGTGTAGCTCCTTATCTAACACATACTTGCACCGAGATAAACTGATACCATTTTTGGATCTAGCCACCTCAATTCCTAAAAAATACTATGACTATCCCAAATCTTGAGTGTGAAACTTATGTTGCAAGAATGCTTTGAGAGCAATAATCCCTTCACTATCACTGCTCATGATAACAGTATCATCAACATACAAAACTAAAACGATCATTCCAGATGTACAATTCATATTAAATGTCAATGTTTTGGTTGACGTTAAGATTTGAGATATTATTAATGCTTGTTTCAATTTAAATATTCTACTTTGGGTTGCATTTAAATATTTAGTACTTGATAAGTTAGAACTTAATACGTAGTAGTAACTAAGCTGAAATATCTATATTGTTTGCCACACTTCGATGAAGGTTTTGCTTTAAATCTTGCTTCTCGCCAAGGCCTCAAGAGACGTGAGTGCTTCAGTTCGTTTTACGCTTTAAATAACACTGTTTGAAACTTTTACAAAAAAAATGAAATAGCCACCATTTCCGTGGTATTCATATCCAGCAAGAAGGATTTTTGAGTTACAATGAAATGTAAAAATAAAAAGAACTGTTCCAAAACAAATTTAACAAATGCCTTAAAAAATCAAGAAGCCAAAAAAGTGATCTCATAAACACATGAATAATTGAAAATAAAATACCTCCATAAAGGATTCTGTAAAATTCATGTTCAGTTGTGTTGTTGACTTGAGATGAATATCAGTCATAATTGCATTGCTCAACAGAGCACTTTTGTCATGCTTTCTAGTTATGCCTAATTGAAAATTCCAGGGCTCTATGAAAGGCTCCCACAAGACCTGTAAGCATGTAAAGCACAATGACATGATAAATTGCTACCAGAAAAATCATATACCAATGCTTATATCACTACTATACCTTGTGAATGTTGTTGTAGCTCACTTGCAGGTCGCCTGCAACTGAGCCTTCCATTTTCCTCTCAGATATGCTAGCAACCAAGAGTAAATTTCTGATAAGTATTTCCAGTAGAGGTCCATTAGAGATCCACTGCATGAAGACCAAGATATATAATTAATAGACGAACAATAAGAATGGAAAAGGCTGCCCGACAGAGTTATGCAAAAAGACTTGTGAATTAGAACTGTGGGTCACCAAGGAAAGACCAAAACCAATGTTCAAACTGGGTGTACCGGGATAACAGGTAACCCAGCATCCCATAATCTAAGTCAAAACATTGAAATGTTGCTAACGGCCATGCTGTCACGATCATCCTCCTGCCAAAGGCTACACTTCCATAACCAGTGATCCAAATAACCCTAAATTAAAACCCTAAACCCAAATTACAAGCCTCTATGGTCCTTTATTTCCTAAATCCTGTGATCTTTAAACTTATATTTCGATATGTACTCATTTGAATTTCTTTTTCTCAATACCATTAACTTTAATTGTTCACAATTAAGATCCTGTGTGGCAGCTGTGTTTAGAGCTCTATGGGAACCGTGAGCGGCAGGACGAAAGAATTATTAGTAGTAAAGCCATGAAGGAGAGATAAAAAAAAAGTGAAAGATGAAAAGGAGGACATAACACGAGAGAAGTGAGAAAAAGGAAAGGGAAACAACAAGACAATCCGGAGAAAGAAAAAATTGCAAACAAAATAGATACGGCATGATGAGGAAGGAGAGAAAGAGTGTGGATGAAACAAGAAAAATAAAGAGACACATTTGACCTGAAGATAAAGCCATCAAACAAGATCTCATTCTCATGAAATTTGAGGGTTGTTGCTGATGTTTAGATTGTCATATATACTAGTTCACTTTTGGATTCCGTAAGTGGAATAACTAAAGATGCACATCCATCTTCAAATCTCTTTGCAAAGAGTATATTTCATTGTTATTGTCCTAAAACTATGCAATTACTGTTGTACTCTTGGAGTCCCAAAATTCCTTTGAATCTTGGTCTTATGTGCTTAATCAAATTCCTGTTAAATAGAGTTGTTTAAAAGTTGATGTGATATGACGAGATATTTTTGTTGGCTAATTACTTTTGAAGACTTATCGATAGATGTATTAAGTGCACACAGTGGCATGGTTTGGTTGGTGTTAAGTGATTGTGGCCCCATTGACTGCATTTGGCATGCTACTGAGAGGAGCACAGTACAAAGCCATGGGTGATTTGAACTGGTTAGTTGGAGGTTCCATTGCCTTTTGATAGCTCCAACTCTGTACATTGTGATTTATTCTGCTTACGAGCCGATCAAGTTAACCCCCAATTAACACGCTCACCCCTATTTAACACCTGAGGGTATTGGAATATATTGAAGAATTAAATAATCTGGACTATTAAGTTTACTTTGATTTCATAATAATTGGGATTTAAACTGTCATACTTCTTCTCAAGATCAAGAGATTTTATTTAAGAAATACCGGGGATTTTGTGCTATGTATGTTTTGGGAAATTGATTGTAATTTTGTTCACGCCTAGAGTTTAATGATGTCAGGTTCATTGTATGATATTCTTCATACATAAAATGGATTCTCGCAAAAGCTATTTTTAGTTTTCCAGGTAGCAAAGTATATAATAATGAATGCTATGAAACATACCACCCAAAAATCACAACAAAAAATACACATACCCTTCCACCAGTCACTAGTAGAGAAATCTTCCTTAGTTGGATTTCAAATTCCATACTACCAAACGTAACTTGTGAAGACCCTGCTGCAGGAATTTTAAACCACTCATGTTGCCCAAAGCAGAAGACGTGCTGTGAAAGCCACAAATCAAGATTGTCACATTGAGCCACCACTTTCACATTCCCATGCTCCTTCTGGCCACAACGAAACTCAGCCTCCATGTTAACATGGAACAACTGGAAACAAGGCCAGGTATGGACACTCTTGTCCTCATATATTTCCAATCTTCCACTTGTTTTTTCCGAATTGAACTTCACTTTTGCAGTTTTCCCATTCCAAACCAATTCACTATGCCTACTTTCGACACTAACAACGATAAAGTTATTGTGATTTGCTTTAATTGCATTGGATGAATAATTCACAGGGCTCCTCTTCTGAATGCAGGACTCCCAACATATGCTAAATGCTCCTTCACTGACACAGACAGGCATATGGACCGTCATGCCAACATTTTCGGATTTCACAATAAGAAAAACAGGATCATGCTTCATTGTTTCTGGTGCAAACTGTCTTGACATACTCAGAAATTGAGGAGAATTCTGTGAACCATTAACTGTCACAATATCATTTTGATCTACTGGAACCAAATTTGATATCTCTGATGGTGCATCCACTGATAAAGTTTTGACTAATTGTCCAGAGTAAGAATTGAGTAGGTCAATGACTTCACTCCACTCAAACAAATGCAACCAAATATCTAGAGAAGGAGCAGAAACATGAAGCTCATTTTCACCCTGATCTGACATTTTAAAAGTCATCTCTAGCACTGACGAGGTTGAACAGGAAGAAGTACATTCTGCTAACATTATAGAGTTAACCAACGAAAGTAATGCCAGAGAAGAGAACGAAATATCCCAGTGCATAGGTTTGTCATCTTTTAAAGATGCAGAGCATATAAATTGCATATTAGCAATTGCAACAGGTTCAGAAGCGTTTAACTCTTCTCCTGAGCGAAAAAACTTCAGTGACATTGAATTCACACAAAATTTAGTTTCTGTGAAAGTCATCCCTGCAGCTTCCAGCAGATATGAGCTATTTTCCTTTAGACTCTTCTTTGATTGAAGAAACTGTAGAACATCAGAGGTGAAACACTGCGATTCTTTTTCAACCAAGGAAAACTGATTTATGACACTAAGTAGTGCTTCATATCCAACAAAAACATAACCACCTGTACATGAAGTCAGAGAGAGCACAATAATTCAATAAAAAATAGAAAAAAAGTGCATTTTGGTTTGCAAGTGACAATAGAAAATACCATCCTACCTTCAGCTAAAAGTTGACAACTATTGACCCTCACCATAACACATGTTGAAGCAACAGAGCTTACACAAAAAGACTCACTGTCACTGGGTATTCTGACCCACACATCAGCACTGATTGGGCAAATTAAATCAATACACACATTTCCAGTTTTTTGATCAAATATTGAGGAGTCATCCTTCAGCAATAGAAGTGATAGAGATACGTCATGCCCGGATACATCTACACAGTTACTTCTCCTGGCAACTTTATGTGATGAAACCAAACATTCAGTAGGAATATCCTTTAGAGCAGTATTTGGATCACTTCTATGGATAAAACTAATGTGCAGCTGTTGAATATCAAGCTTCAGAAACCGGAAATTATCACTCTCCACAGGTGTAAACAAAGTGGAATCCAGAATCTCAAACTTATAAGTAACGGCACTGTTGTTTTCTAAATCCATACACCCAGTGTTTTCAGAAAGAGGCTGCTCATTCGTGTAGAAGCTCCAATCAGGCAATGAGAAATAACCAATTATTATGGCAAGAAATTCAGGTGGCAAAATGCAGGACACATGCTGAACTTCAAAACATATTTCAAATAGAGACCTCAATGATCCAACATTTCGTTTCCTCATGCATATGTTCAGGATAGGAGAAAGACTTGGTGATGAGGGCCCCCACAAAAAGTCATGGATAGTTTGATTCCACCAAGACGATGACAGAACTAAGCCCTCTGTAGAACATATTATGTCAAAAAGATCTTCATGCAGAGTGAATGAACATTTAGAGTTAGGGAGTGTAATAGTTCCAACAATACATGAGGAATCATGAAAATGTAGTCTGATGCTGCTGATATTTAAATCAATAATAAACACACCAGGATCATCAAAATCCTCTGGCATAGGCAAATCATCTGTACCAAACCAGGATTTCACTGCTGGGCCAAACAATGAGTTAGATTCCTTCTTCACAATGCATTCATCACTTCTCATTTTTCTGTCTCTTGAGTTAAGAACTGTCCTCCACTCAGGAACAGCATGAATAAGTGAGCTCCCAAAGCTAAAAAGAGAACCGGCATTGTAAACCGTAACAAATGGAAAATCATCCACTGCAATATTTGCACATTCAGAGGTACCAGTTTGGAAGAATTTTGAGTACCCAAACCTTTGGAACTCAAAAAAAGGCTTTCGTAGGGGATTGTTACAGTCCACAGCCGAGCTGGGAGAATCCTCAACAAGATGAGATGGACCGTACTTTGATATTTTGTCAGAGAATCCAACTAGCAATCCAACTATATAAGGATAGCAGTGAAACTCTATATCACTTAAGCAGACTGTGCACTTGCGACAGATTAAGTTAACATTTGTTCGGGATCCAAAATGTAGTAGAAAGCATTCACCAGCAGACCTGATTTTGTGATCATAGTTTTCACTTTCATTGCTAAGTCGGACATCCGCTTCGCTTGGATATGCCGAATAGGCTTCCCACACATTTCCAGACGAGCACAGAACATGTTTGTCTTTCTCATCTTTTCTTGAATAAGAGAGGATCCTCAAAGCCTTCACACAGATCCAGCACTCTGGGAATTCTATCTGACCAAACCTGCAATTTGGATGGCGCAGCAACTTAGCAATCGTACTAGAGCATAACCACCTACCCAGGAATTTTGTAAATTTAAACTTCAACAATGAATGAATAAGTATTTGATGCAATTGGAGTACAAAAATGTTTGGAATTCAATCATCAGAAATCCATCGCAAAGCTGAGACACGGGTTGCCGGCTACTGAGGACATGGTGATGCTAAGCATTGCTGGACAGCGCTTATTGACAGGGTTTTCATAAAAAAATCTTTCTATAATGCCTGAAATTTATCATATTCCGGAATCCAGGAGTCAATGGGCAGCAGTTGTAAAATATCAAATCTCAACTGTGAGGCCAGTTAGTGTTGAGTCATTTGAAGACAAAATGGCTCAAGGTAAGATTTGTATCTAGTTCACCCCTCACAGCACTTGAATATTCCATTATGAGAAAGTTCAGGCATCAGTTAGTGTTGAGCCACTGCTCAAGGTAAGTTTTGGATCTAGTTCACCCCTCATAGCACATGGATTCAGGGGGCCAACATCATGTCATATCTTTTTCCTGAATTAAGATTTTGAACAAGAAGAACTACGAAGTTAATCAGGGTCTTATCAGACCAGAAAGACCAAGAGCATTTCTTTTGTTCATCAACATTTTGTTCATGTCGAAACGAATTCATGTTACCCACCGCATAAAAGCACACATGTAGAGCTTCAAGAAGAAAGATCTGACAAAGAATAAGCTATCTAGCATCAACAAAACTGTTGAACCACAACTTCAAGGACAATTGCATTTATTACTGTGCAAGTGTAGTGTGAGTGATATATGTTTTTATATCATGGTGAAAGTCGTCTTTCAGGTAGCTAGGTTTTTTCTTTGTCTATCTGTATATATGGCTGTAATGTGGTTTATTGACTTAAGGAAATTAGTATTTCCAGTGAAGAAATCGCACATGGTATGAGCCTCAGCCTCCTCTCCTAGCACGTCACAAGTCAGTCAATCCGCAACTTACTTATCTAAGAAAAAAAAAGGCAGGATTTCATTCATAAACTAGGCTCAAAGGATCTAAAGTGAAATCTCGCTACAAGTCGAGCTTCAAATACTGACTCCAACTAGATTTAAGTAATGCAAGATGAATTAACTGCTCTTCTTAAGGCTGGTGCATGGGATTTAGTTCCTTTCCCTACAGGTAGAAATGTTGTTGGTTGCAAATGGGTTTACAAAAAATTAAGACCCATTATGATGGTTCCTTTGACTGTTACAAAGCTCAATTCGTGGCTTAAGGCAGTCTAAAACTAACTTCCAATGCAATAGAAAACAAAAACATGATCGCTTGCAATTTAATATAAAATATGAAGAGCAGGAATCATGTAATCGACCTCAAATAGTGGGATAAGGTTTAGTCTAGCTGAGTTGAGTCACTAATAATTTACTATAAATACATATTTAACATCCAAGACATACAACCCACATGTTTAGACTATCCAAGAAGCATCAGACATGTACAAAGCTATTTATCATGAAACCTAGAGTAGATGTATATGTATCATGTAGCAAGGGGTATCAGAGAAGTACCTGAACCCTAGGCAGACAGCACAAGAAGCCAGTAAGAAAAAAAAAAAGTTAAATAGGTTCTCATATCAACTGTAAATGGGACACCTTCAGAACTGAACCAGTTGAAGAACATAGCAATCAAGAGAAGCAAGGAAGTGTCTGTTATCACTTAATGAGGGCTTGCACGTGTACTATGGCTGAAAAACAAAATCGACAACAAACAACATACCGAACATCGAATTCTTGAAGAGACAGCATGAGAATGCAACTATTATCCTCATCATTTTCAATGTCGACAAGAAAACCAGCTGACCCAATAGTTGCAACAACAGAGAACCAAAACATTTTGGGGATCTCCGACCTACTTGAATTGGTATATAGTGAATCAGGCATTGAAAAGATTGGTGAGTCTATTGTTGAATGCAGCACATGTGTATTTTCCATTATTCCCATAATTGCACCATATATTGACGGTGAAAAGTGTGCACAAAGTGATGGTACAATTAAATAAACCTGCAAACCAGAGAAAAACCAGGAACATGAGTATTGATAACTTAAAAAGTGGTCAACATAATTAAATATTCAGAACATAAGAGTGAAAAAAGAAAATCAATGATTTGTAACAATTTTATCGTGCAAATTTTGCACATAAGATGTTCCCTATTGGCATACACACAAACGTTGACAAGGGCTCATGATGCGAGACAATTCTTGTTTCAGTAAGTAATGCCAATACACCCATAACCCAGTTTGGACTTGAATCCTAGAACTTTTAGAGCCTATTTGGTTTGCGTTTCAAAAAATACTATTCAAAAACAGTTTTTGAGAAGAGTTTTAAGAAAGTGGTTTTGATATTTTTTGAGATAAAAAACTTGTTTGGTTAGATAATTTCAAAAACAATTATACAATACAGAAAATAGTAAAACCTGTTTGGACAGCCTAAATATAAATTTGAACAGTAATTCAAACATTAATAAAAAAATTATTTTTAGATTGACAAATTCATAAAAAAAAAATTCAATAAACCAAACTTTAAACTATATATATATATATATATATATATATACATATAAATATATATATGGGTATATATACATGTATATATATATATAAATATATATATATATCTATATATATTATATATAAATAAATATACATATATTTACACACACAATATATAAATATATACGTATATACGTTTATATATATATATACACATGTATATATATATAATATATTTTATATACATAAATAAATAAATATATATATATATTCTTATATACATAAATAAAGAAATATATATATATATTCTTATATATATATATTGTTCTCCTTATTTCCAAAATTTTCAAAGAAAACTCTGAAAATAAGTTACACTTATTTTCTGTTTTTTTGACTCAAATCTCATATTTTTCCAAAATTTAGTGAACAAAAATGTTAAACAAACAAGTTTTGGGTATTTTTGAAATTTTGAGAACAAAAAATTGTTTCCAAGATGATAACCCAACATGACCTTAGTTTCTTTAGCAGGAGATACGTTGCAAGCTAACAATTGATAGAAAGAATGATGTGCATCATGATATGATGACTATAAATCATTCAGAAGCCTAATCCAAGATTATAATATTATATCAGATCTGAGAATTACGTCTTAAAAGCTCCCATAGTCTCCAATAACAAACCAGAGTTTTCTCCCTCCAATCCCATCACACTGTTCCCATCCGAAGCAAGGGATGGGAAGGAAATAAAGTGCATCCAAAACCAAGCAATATACCACCACCACCACCACTCATCCCTTCTATATTAAGACTAACACTACCAAAGGTTTTTAAACATGCTCCGCATCTTATCCATTTTATACTTCCTCACAAACCATTAATGTTTCGGTCCTGCACTAACTGCTGTCAGAACTCTTTCTTGCTTGACATGAAAATTCATCAAGTTTGAAGTATCTTTTGGTTACGTGGGATGCATAATTGCAACTACCTTGGGAGATCACAATAAAAAGAATGCACGCACTGTTTCATTCCCAATATGGTCAACCAAAAAAGATATGGCTGCATTTTGGTGATAATTGTCTCAATATTGAAGATGTGTGCGTCTCATACTCTCAAGTCTCAAGTTCGTAAACCAATTCCATACTAACATATCAATGAGGTTATAAAGTTACCAAGCTTAAGGGCGCTGATATAATTCAGAATTTCTGACCCAAAATATTATCTTCTAAAACCAAACTAATTTACTTGTAAAAACTATGTAATTCCAACAAATAAAATTAGTTGTTAATTTCAAACCAACTGTACTTAAGAGTGTCTAATTAATTTAAGGTGAAATAAGTCCACAACTATCACTTACCAATAAAAGTTTACTTACCTCCAATCGTTTCAATATCGGTTCATCTGGAATAATGCAGGATGCCAACATCATGGAAGCACTGAATTTCTCCAAAACAGGGATGGCCTTAGAATAGTTAGGAATCATTACCTTCATCTGCAAAAGGTCCATTTCTCTGCCATTACTCAAACACAGTTAAGAAAAAGAAATCAGCAAAATGGGTAAAATAACTGACCTCAAAATCATGTAATTTGATGTCAAAGTGATTGTAGAGATCTTGTGGCTGAAATTTCATATATGCATCACTGACAGATGCAGAACTTTCAATGTTTGTCAGAACATAAGATTGATCTTCAATTTCTGAAGCAAAAGAACCTACTTTACATTTTGATGTAATGGAAAAGGCTTCTGATTCTATTACCTGCACCATTTATTAGTTCAGCACAAATTCCAGAAGTACACAAATATGGTGGGATGCCAACATCAATATCCTAGCAGGTGTGCACATTTATCTTCAAAACCCACAGTTCTATTAAACTATTTATCTTCAAAAAAAAAAGGCATCATTGACCAATAAAGGAAAAAGAAAGCAAGAGAAAAGATATTTCTTATTATTAGAGTATGTTTTATATTTGTAAGTTAGTGTAGGGTAATATTGTAATTACTCGAGAAATTGTTCAATATAAAAAAGAGGCTATATGGTGACACAAAAAACACCCATATAATTTTCATTCTCTTTCTCTCTGTCTATCTTCGTCTATTCATCTGATCAAAAAAAAATTCTTCTCCTCCTCTTCTCTCTTCTTTCTCCCACAATACTATTATTTACGTCTAACTTGGTATCAGAACATCAATCTGACATGTCATATCATCACGAAAATATCGTAGAAGACTTGGGAAGAAATTTTTAGTCACTGATGTCACGGTCAGTATGATGTCATCCATACGTCAACATGACATCACCACCTTCCGATCATCGCAACCCACCCATCTAGCTTGGTTTTTTATGGTGGCAATATTGGTCATTTTTATTTTTATTTTATTTTTTTTTTTTGAGTTCATCTGATTAGGGTTTGAGATTTTTGAATGTGCTTCACAACAATTAGGCCTATTTTTCGGATTTGTTGATTTAGGGTCAATTTGGATTGTTTGTTGCTTGTGCGATTTGGCTCGGTAATCCTCCTATGGGATGCCCAGTGGTGTTTGGTTGGTTTTTTGCCGTGTTTTGGCTCAAATTTAGTTTCGGCCACTATTTAAGGAGTTGTCTGATGATCGGGACTCTACTAGGGTCTCAATTTGGCTCTACTGTGGCATCTGTGTTGTGTTTGAAGGCCTAAGGTGTGATTCCAATTATAAGCTATTTAGTCTCTTATTTTTATCTTTACTATTATGAAAGGTACTTTGATCTCTTTGATAGTTCAACTATAAATATAAGTGACAAAGGGAGAGAACCCTAACTCTCTCTTCTCTTTTTAGTCATCTTTATTCCTTCTCTATTGTTTCTCTTTCTCTTTATATTTTTTCAACATGTTATCAGAGTGTGTTCCGTAATTCTCAAATTCATCGTAGAACAACACCAAAAATTTTTTTTTTTTTTCTTGATTTGCCAGAAATACAATTTTTTAGATTCTTTTGCTATCTATCCGCAAAAAAAAAAAATATATATATATATATAAATTCAGTAACAATCCAGCTATGATTTTGCTGAATTTTTTTGAAATTATTTATTGCTTCATTCTATTTTTCTTTAATTTTCGGGAAAAAAAGTCTATATTTTAGATCTGCAATTTCCAACCTTCTTTTAGCGGATTTCTTGGTTGGAATAGACACTACGGGTGCAGATTTACAATGCCCAAAGGTTTCCCGGTAATTTGAAGTTCTTTTTATGGTGTTTTATGGCTTCAAGAGGGGCGACATGCATGTTTTTTGGCCTTGGGTAGTCCATTTTATGCTCCGCTAACGATTTTGTCCATTCTTTATGATATTCAGGTTTCACTAAATACAAGTTTGAGATAGTAGCTATGTTTCTTATTATTTTTTTATTTTTTTGAGCCATTCAGCATTTGTCTAGCCTTTAAGAAGAGGTAAAAATCAGAGTAACCATATCCAAATCTAGCACGGTCTCTCAAAAATAGTCAACAAGTGTTGTAAGTCAGATTGAAATTTAGCCTAAAAATCCCAACCTACAATGAAGCTTGATGGGCACAATTAATTTGTTTGGTCGCAGTTGGCTATGTTATTTGCTAGGCGTAAGGGAAAGATGGGTTACTTAACTGAAAAAACTAAGAAACCGAACGCTAATGATCCACACGTGATAAGTGGGAGACTAAGAATTCAATGTTTATGCCTTGGTTATTACACTCTATGGTTATTTGTTTCTACATGCTGCCAAGGAGATATGGGAGGCAGTATCAGAGTTACTTGAAGATGGGCAACATGCCACAGATTTATGACTTGAAATGTCGGCTCTATAATACTAAGCAGAAAGATTTTTCTTTGGCGACTTATTTTCATACCTTGCAGGGGTTATGGCAGGAATTAAATCACTATCAAAGACTTGACATGTAGTGTGCTAAAGATGCCTCAAAATTACAAAAGTTGATTGAACAAGAGAGGATTATTAAGTTTCTTCTAGCTTGAATCCTGAGTTTGATCAAATTAGGATTCAAATCATTGGAGAGGAACCTCTTCCTTCCCTATGGGAGGTATGTGCTTATGTTCAGTCAAAAGAGTGCAAATGAAGGATCATACTTCATCCTACGTCACTGGAGAGTTCAACCCTAACTATTGTCACTTCTCGAAATAACCGGCTAGGAAGCAAGAAAGTTAAGGGAGGATGTGCAAATGATGTTGCATCTAATAATAAAGATAAGTTATATTGTGATTATTGCCATAGGCCAATACATAAAAGAGAAACTTGCTAGAATTACATAGTCGTCCTCAGTTTTGAGGTACAGGAGGATGATCAAGTGTTAAGAGGAAGATCCCTAGCCCCATCTTACGGTTGGAGTGAAGATTTTTTCACCTGGTCCTAATCTAGGTCATGGTCTTGCTCCATCATCTGTAGCAGAAACAATGGATTTCACAAAGAAGGAAGTGAACAAAGTACGTGGCTCTCTGTCGAAACAGGAGACACCTACCATTGCATCCACTTTTTTTGCCCATGTAGGTAACTTTTATATAGCTTTGAGTGCATCTTGCCCCTAGATCATTGATTCTGGTGCATGTGACCATATGACTGGACTATCTACTTTGTTCTCATTAGATACTACTTGTTCACTCAAATACTCCTTCCGCAACTCACCTGCCCATATACTTCTGAACAAAATTAAATTGTTGATAAAAAAGATAGGAGTTTGAAAGGAATGGTACGTTGTATGCTTAAAGGTATGGGGGTGCCCAAATCTTATTGGCATTTTGCTATTCTAACTTCTATATTTTTGTGCAATCGTACACTAAGCCGGGTTCTTTAGCATAAGTCTCCCTTATAGATCTTATTTCCTAAGCGGACACTTTTTTCGGTCTCTCCTCGCATTTTTGGCTGTACAAGTTTTGTTTAGGATAGGTCTCATACTCGCTATAAACATAATGATAAAGCGATTCGTTGTGTCTTTGTGGACTACTGTCATCAGTTTAAGGGGATCGGTGTTATAATTCTATTCGGCACCATATATATCACAGTCTAGATGTTACCTTTCTTGAGCATATTCCTTATTTTTCTTCCAGTCTCGTATCTGTCTCTCCAGTTGATAATACTCCCTTTGTTTTTCCCTGACCACAATAATCAAAGTCACTCGTCACTGTCACTACAAATTCACCGGTCTCTCCTCATTTGTAGATTTATGTTCGTCGCCCACAATCTCATCCCCTGCTAATATCCCCTCTACCTCAGGCGATACCGGTAATATTTCTCAATTCAATGAACATACTGTTAAGCCTATTATTAGTACTGATGAGCCTGTTGTTAGCACTGGCGAGACTACAAGTGGTGAACTAGTCGATTTACCTAATGAGAGTTTGTTAGTGGAGGATGATGAGTTAGCGCGTCGTTATCTGCGGCGTAACCGTTAGCCAGTTGCTCGTTATAGTTAGGCCACCATGGCTTTATATCCAATCTCTGCTTATATTTCTTATGATGATCTGTCTCTTACATTTCGAACTTATAATATGGCCTTATCAAATACACCAATTTCTCACTTGATTTCAAAGGCTATACGGGAGCCTCAAGGGGTTCTTTCTCTACAGAAATGAACACTCTTCAGCGTAATCATTCATGGAATTTGGTTGCTCTTCCTTTGGGGGTGAAGTTTGTTGGTTATTGCTAGGTTTACACCCTAAAGTTTCTTGCGGATTGTACAATTGATCATCACAAGACAAGGCTTGTGGCGAAAGACGTTACTCAGGTTCTAGGTTGTGATTTTGGAGTTATCTTTGCCCCGATGGTAAAGTTGACTACTGTTAGATTGCTTATTTCTCTGGCTGTCTCATACTCTTAGCCCCTTCATCAATTGGATATGAAAAATTCATTTCTTCATGGTGATCCGGACGAAATTATTTATATGGATGTACCACCTAAATTTCGTGGTGAGGGAGAGTATGCTAAGAAGGTGTATCCACTGCTTAAACCTCTTTATAAACTGAAATAGTCACCACGAGCCTAGTTCTCTTAGTTTAGTGGTGTTGTACGTTTAGGGTTCACCAAATGTCATTCTGATCATTCATCCATCCTTCATTCAACGGAATTCTTCTGAGAAGTGTGTTATTCCCTTGGTATAGACATTTCTAGGATCACACGGGTCAAGGTTCACCTTGGGAAGGCCTTCGATGTGAAGGACCTTAAATTTTTGCAATACTTTCTTGAGATTGAGGTTACCTGTAGCTGCAAGAGTATTGTTCCCTCTCAAAGTAAGTACATTCTGGATCTTCTCTCGAATATTGGAATGCAGACTGACATCATCACCCATGATTTCAAACTTAAACCTTACTACTGAACGTAAAGAGTTAAGAGATCTGACCGTCTATCAGAGGTTGGTAGGTAGGCTTATCTACCTAGCCAACATTAGGCCAGACATTTTATTTGCTGTCGAGTTAGTCAGTTCATGCACATGCTGTGTCAATCTCATTTGAATACAGGGTATCACATTCTTCAATATCTCAAGTCTTGTCCTAGACCTAGGTTGTTCTATGTAGTAGGATCTCAGACCGATTCTCTAATTTGTTACTCACATTCAAATTATGAGGGTTGTGACGGTCGATCTACTATAGACTTTTGTATTTTTCGAGGGACTCATCTTATCTCTTAGAAGAACAAGAAACAAGCAGTTGTCTTCCACTCGTCAACAAAAGCAGAGTATCGAGCACTGGCACTTAACACGCGTTAGGTTATCTGGCTACGATCGATTCTTGGCAAGTTGGGATGTCTAATGACTTCTCCATCTACATTGTATTGTGATAATCGATCTGCCATTCAGTTTGCTTTTAACTCTATACTACACGAGAGGACGAAACATATAAAGATCGATGTTCACTTTCTTCGGGAGAAAGTCAGCTATGGCATTGTCACCCTATCATTTGTGGGGACAAGTGATTAAATTATGGATATTTTCACCAAACCGGTCACTCTATCCATTCTTCGGGACTCCATTGTCAAACTTGGCCCAACTGACATTTTTGCGCCTAGCTTGAGGGGGAGAGTTGGAGTTAATATAGTCTAGATAGTTTTCCTCCCTTTCCTTTTTGGTCCTTATTGTGGCTTTTATATCATACCCAGACCAAAGGGGTATTCTAGTCACTTGTACCTCTTATTTGGCTATATATATATAGGACTCTACACTCAGTTTGTGCGTCCCTTTACTCTCAAATAATTCTAGTGATACCACACTTAACATTGTGGCATGTGACCTAAGCATCACGAGTCCGAATAACCAAAAAAGCCTTTATGCATGAGGGAGTAACCTCATTCATTGGGCTGCCCTTTAAACAAGCATGAAAACAACACAAAAAGAGTGTAATCAACGGCCTTGACATTATAAAAAATTGGAAGACACAAAAATGGGAATGTAATCTCAATATTTTCAATAAAGGAATTACCATTTTATGCAGTTCTGGATGCACATTTTCCCAGGGAATGATAATAATGATATTAACAACACTAATATCCCACATCACCCTCTTCCGACTTGACAAAATATATCTACCAAAAACAAAGAAAATGAAGAAAGTTTAATATATACTGAAAATTTCATGTAAGATTTCAAGCACATTAGAAAGAGAATTTATAGGCATCACTAGTTCTTGTGAATTCTTTAAAACTTACTCAGCTTTTGACAGAAGCCGTGCTCTGACATCATCAATCCCATTCAATGAAAACAGCACCTGTAATAGGACAAAAAAAATCCTGTCATAATTCTCCAGGACAATCAACAAACAAACAAAATCACAAAAATTTATTTTACAACAGGATATGCTGTCATTCAAGAACTTTCAGTCTCATTTCATAAAGGAAATTACAATTTCAGAAATAACCAAATCAAAAAAAAAAGGAAGGAGAAACTGTAAGAGTAAAGAATGGCCACCCAACAATTATTGGAAATCTAATGACGGTAAAACATTTTTTGTTACAGGACAATGATGCAAGAGAAATCAGAAATAAACACCTATCAAGGTTAATAATCTGGTTTGATATCATATGGTACAATAAAGACCCTCAATTGGATAAAAAAAAAGCTACTATAATAGAATAAGGACAGATGTTCCACAAGCTTAAATAATAGTCGCACAAACCAAAAAAATCACTATTGACCATTCCATTAGATAGAGAACTTAAGGAAATGAACCAACATAGAGGTAAATATGACAAATAGACAGTCTAATGCTTATCAAGATTGGATTAGCAGTAGGGATACAATAAATGAACAATATCAAACAATAGTCTTTGAACAGTATGACATTTTCTGCATTTATAGATATTACATGTAAGCTTTCAGAAACTGTTAAAACATCCAACTCAAAATCAATAGATAATAAATGGAGTGGCCCATAAGGCTCGTACACTAGCTTGAGAGGTGTTATTTTCATTTATGTGGAAAAAGCCCTAAAATTCCCGTATGAGCAACCACTACTCGCACGTAGAGAGATAAATACAAAAATAACATGTACCAATGGCACAAACAAATGAGAAGAAGGGGGCGGGGGGGCCACAAATCACACGTACTAGTTTGGGAGGTGTTATTCTTGTCGATGTGGGATAAGTTTTAACAAGAGCAATTATCAGGTATAGTGGAAAAAGTGTCCAGTCAACAATTATGAAATAGCGATAGCATGTTAGAGGTTCCCTCAGACCTCAGACCCTCAAAGACCTTTACAAGAGATAGTAGAAAGTAGACACCCTTTAATATCCCATGGCGCCAAGGGGTAAGTCTCTCAATAAATGCCCCTGTTATTTTATTTAATTCTAATATCTAATACCTAATTCTTAATTTTCTTATGATTGAAAATTTCAAAAATTCACACAGCAATGACCTCTCTGTCGAAAATCTACCTATCCCGAAAAATGCAACCTGAGCCAAGAAGTTGTGAACTCCTATCAAGTTGATTGGCCTAAAATCCCAAACATGCTATGCAGCTATGCACCCCCCAAGAGAATGTCATAATATCATCCCGCAACATCTCTTAGCATCTCCAGAAGAATGCAATGCTAAATCTGTTAGGGCAGAAGAGTCAGGTCTCTGTTACACACCCTCTTTCTTTTTTTTTTTTTTTTTTTTTTTGCGAACCTCACGCAGTGCAAGGGAGATTTATTAATAAAAAACGAAAAAGATTACAACCTAAAATGGGGGCACATAGTGAGCTTTACCCCAGACAAACCATTACAATAATGGCTAAAATAAAAACAACCATGCAATGCATAAGTTACATCAAAATTTAAAACAAAAGTATTAAGAAAAGTAGATATGTCACTGTTAGCAAGCAAAAGTATTAAATCTGGAGGAGAGGACCACCAGGTAAAATTAGAAAAAATGAAACTCTAACAATGGCCATCCGATCCGCCACTTGACTCCCTTCTTAGTAGATAAGGGAAACCTGAATATGCATCTCTTGCATTTCTTGTAACACACCCTATATTTGACTTTTTACTCCCATGGAATAGAGAAGTGTTTTGAGTTGACACCCTGCACTAAAATCTACAAATCACATTAAACCCAAAGTTGATGCCATACATAAGACCCAATAACAATAACCCTGATCACTGCCATGAATTCAGCAAAGAACATTGAACGGACGCCCAAAGCTAAGCTAAATGGCCCCTTAACAAATCTGCGATACATCTGAGTTTTAATAAGTGCTAACAATTCCTTCGGTCAGTTAGCAAAAAAAGCTTCTACCGACAAGAGTACCAAGCCGACACCAAATACTATGGGCAAAACCACATGAAAAACAAAAAGTCGTACAGACTGAATCACGACAACAAAGTGAACATGCAGAGACAAGTACCACTCAAGGCAATCGAGGATCATCATCTAGCAGTAGTCATTCATGTAACAGACACCAATAAAGCCAAGAGCGGCATGGATGGAGAAATTTTATCCAGATTAGCTTCTTCCATGGGTTAGCAGGTTGATTCAGTCTGAAAAAGTCATGTGCCTCACTCAAAGTAAGTGAGCCATCCATTGAAAGGCACCACACCCGCAAATCCATTTTAGGAGGAGTCCAAACAACCTCTTTGATCTGCTGGCAAACCTGCAAGAAAGCCAATTGAAAACTCATTGGCATTACGCATTCCCCTCCCTGAATGAAATCCGAGACTGCAGAAGATAACTATGGCACTATGTGAGGGTGTATACTGCAGGTAGTAGATAGTGGTCAAACCATCCAATAATCAACCAAAAACCAAATAGACTTGCCATCCCCACAATCCATTGAGAATTGTCATGAGTAACTTGCAGCTGACTTCTTATAACCGACCAAATACTAGAACACTTATAATATAAAGCTGGAGAAGAAGAAGATGCCATGAATCTCACTCAAAGAAAGCGCATCCATTGCTTATTCAAAGTTAGAAAGGTACAAGGCTTGATTATTAGCTAAAGGATTTAATCAAGAGTATAGCGTAGACAACAACAAGACGTTTGCTCCTATTGCCAAGAAAACCACTGTTTGCAGCATGATTGCAGTGATTGCTATTGGTTAATGGAGCTTGTCTTAGATGGATGTGAAAGATGTTTTTCTACATTGATATTTAATGAAAAGGTTTTTATAACTCCTACTCCTAGATTCTCCCATAGTCCCGGTCAAGTAAGCAAATTTCATAAGGCTTTATATGCATTAAACTGGTTAAAGGGCATGGTTTGCCAAGTTTTATTCCGTGATGTGACTTGAGTTTTTGTGCAATTGATCATAATTCTAATTTCTTCCTCTGATCCTCTTCCTCAGGCTCTTTTGTTCTATTACTTCATGTGATGACATTGTTCAAATACTACTATTACAAAATCAATTGCAGAATTATTTTGAGATGAAAGATTTAGGTTTCAAAATTTCTTAGGGATTGTGATTACTTCCTCCCCTAAAGGTCATCTCCTCTAGCAATCAAAGTATGCATCACATGTTATTCAACAAGCTAGCTTATCAAATAATCGGCCAGTTAAGACATCCTTAGAGCTCAATGTTCATATTGTCTAATCCTACCCTATATCGCATTATTGTTGACAGTCTGTTATATCACTCCACAACATAGTTATCAATTCATGTATCGAAAGACATATCATTTTTTAAAAATAATGTATTATATTGTATCGTATATCGTAAGATACGGTGTAATTTTAAATAAATAATAATAAAATATATATACCTTTAAAAAAAATCATAGATTCATAAAAATATAGCATTTCATTAATACTCCACCAACTATTCAAATCATCAACATAGTTCACTAATTCAAACTTCAAACACACAAGAGCCTTCTAATTCAAACTTCTAACTCAAACTTCTAATTCACACTTCAAACAGCCAAGCCAGTCGCTGGAGAAGGAAAAAGAAGGCAGTTGCAACTATAGATCCAGATCCAGAGGCAGCGATTGGCTTGGTTGCTTCAATGGTTTCTCATGTTTTGCTGCCTTCGTTGATGAAAAACAGAGAGACAGTGGGCTTCGACAAGAGGAACAGAGCTTTGTCAATGAGGAACAGAGAGAAGACGGAGACTGGGCTCGTTGTCTTGAAGCACAAAGGGCTTAGAGACACTGGGCTTCGTCATCGTCAAGAACAAAGAGAAGAGAGAGAGGGACTAAGGTTCATCGTTGTGAAGAACGGAGAAAAGAGAGAAACTTGGGCTATTGTGTTTCGTCGTTGTGAAGAACACCCAGAAGACAGCGAAGAAGACAACGAAGAATGGGGAGAAAAGAAAGATTTTATTTTTTTTGTAAACCCTAGCCACTGAAACAATGTCGTTTCAGTGGCTATAGGGATAAAAAAAATCAGTCTCCTTAACACAAAACGATGTCGTTCTAGCAAAAAAAAAAAAAATTAAACAGCCTATGCACGTATCGTACCAATATCGTGTATCGTTTTACCTTCGTATCATATGATACTAACAACTATGCTCTGCACAAAGTATATTATTTCCTTCCTCCTCTTCCATATAACTCAGGACTTATTCAGATACAGACTGAGCTGGTGACTTTTGGATCGCAAGTCTACCACTAGTTTTTGCTTTTTTACTTGGGGATTCTCTTATTTCCTCAAAAAGTAAGAAATAAATTGTAGGTGCTTGTTTCTTTGTTAAAGCTAAGTATCGTGCTATGGCATTAACCAAAGCTAAGATAATCTGGTTACCTAGGAAACACGGATACTCGGCGGGGGGTCGCCGTGGCAGTGTCGGACACGTGTTCGACACAAATACGCGTGTCCGATGGCCGGACACGTGTCCGACACTTGTAGAAGTGTCCTGAATAGTGGCTTCGATTTTTTTTAGTTGGATATGGCTCAAATACGTGGGTACAAGGAAGGGACACGGCGGGGTATTTTTTGTTATTTCAAAAACTTAAGGGGGTCAAAATGAAAAAAAAAAGCCAAATCTACGTGAAACTTCGACATTCAGTGTGTTCAACAGAGAGAGAAGAGAAGAGGAGAACGAAGGACTAAAGGAGGAGAAGAAAAAGGAGAAGAAAGAGGAAGGGAGACTAACCAGAGAGTGTATCTGCGACTGGATCTGGACCCGGCGACCAACGACTGCAACTGCGACATCTGGATGATCGGTTTGGTGTGATTGGCTTGCCCTAGATGCTCGGTGTGATCTGTTTGGCCCTAGATGCTCACAGCATCGCTCTCTCTTCTCCCTCTCTCTTCGTTATGGTGGTATGGTGTCCCCGATCAATTAGACTCCTCATTATTCTAGCCCACAACCAATTACATTTAGCCCCCTAATTTATTGCTCATAATATTTAGCCCACTTATTACATTTAATATTAACTCATTTGTCTAGTTATAAAATATTAATTAATTTCACAATTTTATTATTAATGTTATTATATATATAAAAATATATTATAATATTTTAATTAATCGTATCCTCACCGTAGTCGTATCCTATATTTTAAAATTTTGTCATATTCCCGTGTCCGTATCGTATCGAATACGACACCCGTGTCCGTATCCGTGCTTCCTAGCTGGTTACATTAGTTGTTTGTTGATCTTAACATTTCTTTATCTACTCCTACCCCATGTATTATGACAACCCTAGTGCCCACAACTTGATTTCCATGAGTGTACAAAGCATATTGAGATTGACTGACATTATGTGTGTCATCGTCTTCAGCTAGGTACTATCTCTCTCCTTTTTCTCCCTTTTACTACGAAGTTAACAGATTTTTTTATTTAGTCTCGCACAATAGCATACTTTCGTTTTATTCTAGACAAACTCCAGATGTTCTTGGTACGACAGTATGAGTTTAAGGGGGGGCGTGTTAAAGTATTAAGTATGCAGGTATATTTAACATTAGAGATAGTCTAGTCGTGTACTTTATTCTACTATGCCTTACTATAAAGGCCTCTATCATGTATATTTTCTCTTTATGTTGTTGCACAGACTAATTGTGTTGTAATGATATTTTATCTTATCCTCTCTTCTTCCTTTCATCAATGTTTATAGTCCTTACATGGTAAACTATCTAGTGTTATAGATTGGGAAAATTACGACTCCTATAATGCACTTTCCATCTCTCGTCTTAAAACAACCGTTTAGTATCACTAAATCATATGCAACTTTAGAATCTAACACATAACTCTTGCCATTATTCCTCCCTCTAAGCCCCAATCCCCATGCATGATCTCATTGTTCAAAGACATCCTTCTTCTAATCTAATCCTTTGTTAAAGTATCATTCATCAACATATTATGTAACTCCAAAACTTCCCTCAACATCTCTATGCAACAAGGTTATTTGAACATCTAGACAATGCAAACTGAGAACAAGGCTGTGGAATATCATGTAACCCACACTGACAGATAAAAGTATTATACATCTCGTGGTGACTGAAACCCTAGAACCTCCCAACTTCACAGTTAAATTCCAAATAACATTGAAATCTCCCCCCAACTCGGTCGAGGGCTACATGATACTTACTCAGCAAATAGCTCATCCCTGAAAAGATCACCTACTTCAAACAAAATGTGCACAACACATAAAAGTAAACCACCAATACCCTCTTCCTCGCAATCAAGAAAAAAGGACACTAAAAACAAACCAAATGCACAATTAACTCGAGTGGCAATCTCAATCCCCCAAATAATAAAAGAACAACCAAAAATTCGACATGATGCAAGAAACACTCTATCCTTAAATCTAGACTCCCCAATACTCCTAACCACTGCCCCCTCAACTGACTCTAACTTGCACTCTGGAAACATTACTAAATATGAAGAAGCCCTTTAAATCACATCATGAGTCATCTTCTTCTTCATTTGTTTTCCTAATCCCTTCACATTCAACCTTACAAACTTGAGCAATAACCTCAAAGACCCCCTCCCTTCCTTCCAAACCACTTTCATAGTAAAGGGTTGTTTGATAATACCACTTAATGTTTCAAACTGAATACTTTAAGGACTTAATGAATTAAACCCGCTTGGTAACATAAAACACATACCACTTAACACTTCTTAAAAATTGGCTAAAATTATAAATAACAAGTCATCTACTTATCACATATTGCTAAAAATGTTAATTAATAAGAATTTTATAAATTTCTCATAATGGATAAATATACCCTCAATACATTTTACACTTTTAACTTTTAAATACCCACCATCCACAACCACCATCATTGTGTTGTTGCCACCTCCACTATTGTGCCACCACCGTCATTGCCACCACCACCGTTGTGTCGCCGCCACCGCCATAACCATTGTGCCACCACCATTACCATCACCATTGTGCCGCTGTCACCACTACTACCACCACCACCACCATTGTGATGGTGCTAGTAAAAACAAGGTAGTTACGGTCAAATGGTTAAAAAGAAGAAAAAAA